GCTTCTCGGCGGTCGCTCTTCATCCAGTTTGTGAGGTCGGAGACACCTAATAACGATGATCAAAGCAGCCCAGCGAATGAAGAGAACTACTCCTATTTTTTTGACCCGCTTCAAATAATTTTGGTGAGGTTCTCCAGACCCCGGACGGGTATCCATGCTCCGTTCGAGAAGGATCAATTGGCTTTGAAATCATCGCTCGTAACAATTGTTTCTGGGAAGCGGTCTAGGTGCCTGGTGAGCAAGGGAAGCCTCCCGTACGGAGTATACCGAGTGCTGTTTCCTCCGTCCTACTTGACAAATGACCAATTTGTAGACGGGAGCAGGTCCGCAAGATCAGCATAGAACGTCAACTGGGCTGACAGACCACCAAAGGCCTTACTCATGCATAAGGATGGCTGCAAGTCTTCCTTTTGAGAGGTCATTCGACCCCCACAGGCTTCTTTTGGAAGGCCAAGCGACCATTGAGGGAAAGTCGCATTGAGTGGCACCAAAATGGTGGGAGGCGGCGAGCGTTGTTTGTGCGGAGGCAGCTTCGAAAGGGTCCCTCCTTTTACAAGTGGACGACAAAATGTCTTGAGACTAAAACAGGTGGTATCTGCAGTGGCAAGTCCAACAGCATGTCCCTTCAAGCGTTGTGTCCCCTGCAAGCAAATTCTTTCACTAGTAATCAATTGGCTGCAACATATCTGGGCCATTTTCCATGCGCTAGCGCAGCATGCGAAGCTTGCCAGCCGCCAAAAGTCACTCTCCAAAACATCGACTGGTACAGGGTTTGGAGGCATGAAACCGAAATGGGATTCTGGAGAACAGCTGTTTTGACCATCACACCGCCACTGGGCTGCTTTACGGGTAGGTTTCGTGCCAACGAGTGCCGGCAGAAGAGGCAACATGGCTTGACAATCACCTGAGGACGAAGACGAATAGCTCGAGGTGCAGGAGGTTTAGATCACCCTGATCACCCTAGGGCGTCTTAGGATGGCATTTCGACAGCTGCAATGCTTGCACAAGTAGTCGAACAACGGGCTCACCGAATGCAGGTCGAGCTCCGCACCTGTTTTGGGTCAATCCTGATCAGAGCTCCATGTCCGGCCCCTTACCTCAAGTACTCCTCCATGTGGCTGCCCATCTGATTTGCCTTTGGGAATCTGACCTGTCACATTTCTTCGGATGAGGTTACCGCGGCGCCTCGCCTGCAAGCCTCAACCCGATTAGGACATGGTGGTACCTTGGCGCCTCTCTCTTGCAAGACCTTGCCACGATGCATGCAGGAGGCCTGCTTTTTTCTGATATCATTTTGCAAGCTAAGATAGACAATCTGGTGGGTTTCGTCCGCGTGGCAGTAGCTGCGTCAAAAGTCGTCGCTGGGCCTGCGTGTCCTAACGGGGGAAGGCGTGAAATGCTTGTTCAACTGACGTCATGAAACAGTCCATCTGGCTGGTGTCTCAGCGCAGCCATTTGAGTCTTGGTAGGTTGGTAGAAGTCTCACTTAGAACCGCCCTCAGAAGATCACTCCGACATCTTGATGAGGGCCTCTGCCCCTCCAGATATCTCCCTCTCATCTTCAGCGCAAGAGCCATATTCTATTACCCGGGTACTTTGATGCTACACTGTCCTTAGGTGAGAGAGAACTGGCCCGCCTCGATCCGCAACTACGCTCTGGTGGCTCTAACTTACTGCAAAAAAGCATTTAGCTAACTACAGCTCCACGGAATGAAAACCACACGCCCCTCCCCCTGAAAACTCTTTGCGAAAAACCTCTTTGAAGTTGACAATGCATATGGCTTGGACATCGGTTGCCTTCCCGTCAATGTGTGTCGGCGGTATCCCCTTCAGCGAGTATCTCGCCGTCCATTCCCCTAGTTTCATGCTCCGCCTGTGCAAACGATCCCAGGATCGGCTCTACCCTGCATACAGGAACCAGTTTTCTTCCAACTTCGTTCTAGGTAGAGTGGATTGCTGCGTGGATACTGGACAAGAGGTTTGAAGACGGACACAACCATATTTTGGAAGCTCGGGCCAGGTGTACAGAGTACATTGCAGCCAGACGACTTGGACATACCGAGCGAATACTCGGCACTCGATCGCCAATTGATGATTCATGACACCGTTGACTCTAAACCCCAGAAATTATCACTAAAACAGTCATGTGGTGATGGGAGTGGTTTCTTGGAAACACCAAGATATCCCCATAATCTGTTGCTGGAACCGTTAGAAGGGAGATCGTGTCGTTCCAGTGGGTACGAGTTGCGACGAAACTTTGCCACCAAGATCCACCAAATGCATCATCTCCCTGCAATCTCGTGGGTAACGCTCGTCTCGACATTACCGTCTTCACTTTGTCTTTCCGCCTCCGTTTTCTCCCTGCCCACCAAAGGTTTGTTGGCGTTGGCGCTGCCATGCCTCAACTAGCCAGCTCCGAAGACCCAATCAGCACCCGTTTACCTGCCTATGCGCCATATTTGATACTATTGATGAGCGATTTGGGTACGGCTATGCACTTCAACACATGGGTCTACGGGTCTCTTTGAGCCTAGACTGAAAATGGAACTGTCGCGGCGATATTCAACGGGTAGATGAAACAAGAAAACCTTTCCGTCTCCGACATGCAGCCACTATCCTCTCTACAGTACCTATGCCGAGTACGAGTACATCTATCTACTCGTGCCAACAACGAAGTAAGGAAGTTACGAGGATCTGCGAAAGGACAAGGAGACGGACGGGCTAGCCCGCACCCGTGGAACTTTTCGACCAGTACCGAGTCCAAGTAACCCTCGGTATCGTTACTAGTACCTGATAGATGTCTCCCTAATGGCCACGGAGACATTTTCCCGACCCTGACTCCCAGTACACTGAGAGTACTTGCTTTCTCCGAGGTACATCGCCCCGGGATACTTTTTACAGCAGTAGATCATCCCAAGTCCTCGTACTGTACCTACTGGGTACTTGTACTCATATGTACTAGATACCTAGTGGAAAAGCAAGAAACATGTTCCAGACCTTGACCGGACACTAATAGATCTCTCTCCACTTCGTACGAATGAGTGAGTGGAGGGTGTGAGTCCTCCAAGTCGTATCTTTCCTGACCCCGATGAGATCTCAACCACAGCGTGGCAAGTCAAATAAGCCTTCGGCACGCAGCCGATGCCAACTACAGGTCTTGATTTTTCCAAGGTCCTGCGACCACTACGGGGACGAGTTTGCCACTCCTCAATCTACATACATCGAGTACAGTACGTTTGTGTGCCTCTTGATACCGAGAACTCTTTTCGCCACGGCTTGAGTAAGTTACGTATGAGGTTTTGTATGATACTATTCTGTAGGTAGGCCGATAGGAAATATGGATGAGTACATCCTACCCGTCTACAGCGCATCACGGGAATGGTAAATATCCTAGTCGCTACATGTATACCTCAGGCACCTACCTATCTACCTACCGAGTCGTCCATACAACAATCCATTCACCAAAAGCGTAATACTTATACTTTCAGAACATTGGACTTGGTCCTGCGCGTGTGTGGCTTGCATAGGTCCACACCTGGAACAAGTGGCCACGCCTTCCCTCGTATCGTATTCCAGCCTGACTGGGTCGAAGTGATATAAGCGAAGCCTTTTGCAAAAGGTGATGATTCATCATTTGATTGACCACCTCTGGTCTGGGTGTCGTTGCTATTCCTGCCACCCTCCCTCTCTTCTTTCCACCCCCTCCCTCTGTCGATATGTGTGTGCCCGACGAGGCAAGGAAGAAGGGCCTGGACCATTCCTGTGTGTGCGCGTGTGTGTATGCATGCAGGTAGGTTTGTGGTGTGGTGCACGGCGGGTGGAGTGTGGAGTGTGGAGTGAGCAGCAGCGCCACGAGCCACGAGGAAGCATGCACTCAGTCAGTCAGAGTTTGCCAGGAAAACATCACAAGCACCCTCGCGAGTAGAGTTGATAGGGTCGGGTCGAAAGAACCATGGTCATCTGCATACCTAGCTACCTATGTGTCTAGCTACCTACCTGACGCACGGGAAGGCATGTATGCATGCAAGTACATCTGCAAAGAGAAAGGGAGGGGGATGACCCAACAGAGAGGTAGGCACGTAGGTAGGAGGTATGTACTGGTGGAGGGTGCCCCGGAAATGCACGAGTGAGACACCACGCGACACGACACGACATGTCACGTCACGACAACGCAAGGAGAAAAAGCCTTTTCGGATGGCTGGCTGGCTGCCACGCGATGGTGGAAGCGGGACAGGGAGCGGGAGCAAGGAGACAGACATGACTTGGGCTGAGGCTGGGATGGACGGAACTCAGCTGGAGTTCTTTTTCCCAAGTCTGGCTTCACGCGTGGATGGATGGGTGGGCGGTGTGCTCGAGAGTGTGAGAGAGTGTGCATGCAGGCCGGACGAGGTAGGTCACGTCAAAGGAGGTGGTTTCAAAGGACAAAGGAGAGGAGGGTGGCACGGGTTCACATCTATTCGGGTTCGGGGTCCTGCATTGCGAGGACGGGGCACAGGTCTGACGTCCTCTCCGTCGAGGCTGCGGGTAAGGAGGGCAACGGTACTCCGTACACTCTGTGTGTATACCTCTCCACGACTACAGTGCAAGTGCGAAAGTCATGGCGCCAGGGTCGAGGACGAGTCCATTGTGTCCCTCTCACTATCACATACTTTGTTGGGGAAAACAGGGAGGCAGATCAATAACAAAGACGTGATGATGAAGAAAAACGGTCGCTGCAGGGGGAAATTGCATTGCATGTTTCCTGATTCTCTCACTGTCATGTCTGCTGGAAATAAGTGAAACACCACTCCACTCAATTGACGTTGGCCATAGGCCGTCGCTGGATTGCTGCTCAACCCATTAGACAGAGCCATGAGGTGTTCACAGTCCAGCGCTTGCCTGCACGTCCAGCATCCACAGTCCAGTGTGTCAGAGTGTCTTGCATTGATCCCACTCGACCCTCGCATTCCCGAACTCTTCGATAACAAAAAGGAAAGATCGTCCAAACCATTTTTTTCGCTCTAGTTCTCGTGCAAAACCTCTTGGAATTTCTCATTGACACGCTCGGGCTTGCCGTGGTCGACGCCCTTCTGCCCAATCTTGTCCTTGGAGTACTGCGCAGCGTAGGGGTTGAGGCGGAGCAGCACCTGTCTGTTGCGAAGCGGGTTCTTCTTCTGGACGCCGGCGCGCTTGGTGGTGGCGTAGCCCTTGGGCTCGCGGAGCACGGACTGGATCTCGGAGCTGTTGATGAGGCGGGTGATGTCGGCGTTGGAGACGACGTTGGAGGGCAAAAGGAAGTCCTTCTTCAGGGTCGACGCTTCAGTCGTCGAGCCGTAGATGGTGTCCAGAGCACCGAACGCACCCGAGGTCCAGATGATGAACCGACCTAAGTGACCACCCGGGGCGAGCTGGAGGAGGTTCAGCGCGAAGACGGACGAGGTCTCGACGCCGGGGATGTTGCGGAACGCCCGAACGAGCTCCTTGCCGTCGACCTCTGGGTTGTAGACCACCAAAGGCCCGCGGCGCTGGCGGTGTCGGCGGTTTCGCATCTTGCCCTTACCAGCGCGCAGTTTGCGGGATTTCTGGACCTTGACAATGTCTGGGCCAGCGCCAACGGCCTTGAGAAGAGCGGCAGCGGCGGATGTCTTAACGAGAGCGGCACCTTCAAAGACCTTGCTTGAGATGACGAGCGGCACTTCGGGGACGGTCGAGATGCGGTGGCCGCGGGCGAGGAGGAGAGCCGGGACAGAGCTGGCAGCAATGGCAGATGCGGTAGCAAAGCGCCTGTAATCGAAGAAAACCACCGTTAGAAGACTTGTCCCAAGCAGCACCGGTAGCAAATTGTAGTTGTCTCTTACTTCTGACCCAAGTTGATCTTCTGATGCCACTTTCTCCAGACCTTCGTGGGTGCGAACATGCGGCCGGATCGACATTGGTTACCGAACGCAGCTTGACCTGCTCTATGTGTACCACCGCCAGAGACACGAGGGATACGTGCGACAGCACGACCTGTAAGATTTCCTCTCGCGTTAGTTTCCCGTGCCCGTCTCTACCATGTCGGTATTGGATTTTTCCGCTAGAACGCACCTGTGCCCCATGACTCGGCTGATGTCTGTTCGCCTGCCTTCTCGCTCACGGCATATGGTTGTCTCTTGTTCTTGGCCATTCCGGCGTGGACGGACCTGATCTAACTGTTAGCTCGCCGCCGTGGAAATTGTAATCGAGGTTTGCTGCGATGGAGGAGGGAATCATACTGGACAATGTCAGGCCGAATGGGAGAGCTGAAGACGGCTGGCAGGGGATGGGTTTCTCCAGTGCTGGCACCATCGCCGCCGACGATGCCGACAGTAGGACGGTTCGACATCTTGCGTTCGTTATTGAGAGGGTTGATGAGGAGAACGTGAGGGTTGCTGGTGGTGTCTGTGAAGTTAAGTCCCAAAATCTTCAATTGCCAAAGGCGCAGCGAAAATTGGGGTTGTGCTGTGAACTAGTCCGGATTAGGAATGAAATCTTGGCGAATTCTAAATCTTGGCACAGCCTTGCCAAAGCCTCGCCAAGTCCCCGCTAATTGAAAACGATATTGTGTTGTTAGTGGACTACACTCGGGGTGCACTGACTCTATATCTAGTTTCGTTCTCCCGCTTTCCCACCGAAGCTGCCGCTGTTGTGGACGTTTGCCAGGGGAAATGGCATGCACCGATCTTCGGAGAGGGCGAGCACCATCGCACGCCAAGATCCTTCCAATACAGGCCGGATCAACTGGAACGTCCATCTACTGAATACACCATAATTCACAGAGCACACTTAATTCTACCCACTGCTATTTTGCGAACAGGGATGCAGCTCCATGACGTGGATCGTGACCAGAGGATTTGCCTGGCTGGGTCAAATGCAAGAAAGCTGGCCAAGTATAACAGCAATGGGTACAGGTGTCACCAAATTTGGTCGCAGTGAGAATTCTCAAGGTATATTGTATGCGATGAAGAACATATTCCCAAATTCTTGAGCCAATCTGATCCCCCATAACCAAGGCTCCCAGGGTGCAGATCGATCAAACACCGACAGAAATCCACCAGCCTGAAATGGATGGATGGCATGTTCAGAATGTGGGAAATCACGTTTTTCGTTCTGCACTCTTGCTTTTTGTTTTGGTAAGACAACTCTGCGGCTCAGGAAGAAACAATTCAGAAAAACGACTTGTGATATCCTCGGTAATGACAGAGTGGTAGTCCAGTTAGAACAACCTTTCCTGTGCTTAAACTGGAATCGATAGTTCGCTCTGTCGCACTGACGCAATGAGGAAATGTCCTCTTCCGAACCTGAGAATCCGGCACCAGCACCGAAGCCCGTGATCACATCAAGCAAGATCAAGATCTGGTGGCCATACATCGCCAACTGTGCGATATGCACCACCTTTCCCCACTCCAAGGTCGGCGAGGTTGGATATAGCTAGGTCCTCAGTGGACCTCCATTTTCCTCTCTGATATGCTTTAGATCTGGCGAAAAGGTGTCGTTGATATCAGCAGACACTCTTGTAACACTCTGACGGCTTTCTTCCGCTTGCTCCTCCACCTTCGCATCCAAAGCACTAGCCTTGCGATCCTTTTCATCCACAAACCCATTTTCACTCTCATGGTCAAGATCCTTGTCAAGGACCTCATCATTGAGCATCTTAGGATTGAAAGCCACGGCCCCTTTAGGAATGAAAGTTGAGGCGAACACAACTGCCATAATCACAGTAAATTGCACGCCACCCACATTTCTGATGGCTTCACGGATGTTTCCACCGTCAGAGCCACCTGTGTTGGCATAGACACGATCGATGTATCGACCTAGAAGGGGAGAGCAGATGGCATAAATGACGATGTATGTCGAATAGAGGAAGGCCATGACAGCACCTAACGCTGAGACCTCCTTGTTTTCGGCCTCTAGGCGGGCGAGCGAGGCCTGGATGTAAGCAGCGAGGGAGACATCGCCAGCTGCCCAACCGAACGAGATGGGAATGAAGGTTCCGGCGACGCGCCAGGCTTCATTGACATCACCCCGCTTTGGGTGCCAGTAAGGGAGATACCATACTATGAGAAGCATCAGGGCATCGAGTCGGAGCCATGGCATCGGAGTCTGGACGAGATTGGTGAAGAGAAAGACAAATCCGGCACCAAGAAGCTCGCCAAAGTTACTACCTCCCACTTTTCAAAGTTAGTATAAACGATGTGCTGCAATATTTGCAACAGACGTAGACAGCCTCCTGTGGAAGCTGGTGCAGAAGGCGTTGCAGGCAAAGATGATGTAGTGGGTGTCTCAACTTACCCATGATCTGTGACCAAGCAGAGTTCCCTAGATATCGTCGAGCCACAGCGGGCGCAATGCCGTTCTCGAGATATCGGTGACCATAGAGTGCAAAGGAGTAGCCTGGCAAGAGCCAGATAAACTTGCGAGAGCTGAAGATGATCTTGAAACCAGTCCAGATGGAATCGAAGAAGAGCCAGAAGCCCATGGCCACGGCTAGGAGGTAGTTGCCTCCTTCCTTCAACGGCTTCTTATAGTTGAGGTTGGAGATGAAGAACCAAACGGCTGCAGCGGCAGCGAAGAAAATGGGGGTGATAATGAAGGAATAGTTGTTGCCGAATGAAGGGATCAAAGCCAAAGCCGTGCAGAAGGCGCCCGCGGTGCCAGAAATTTCGTAGAAGATGTGAACAAGCGAGTCCATACGTCGAAGCTTTTGGACGTTGCCTCCAACAATGTCTCGTGGAATGACACGTCGGATCAATTCAACCATCCCATAGGCAATGCCGCTGACACAGTAGATGGGGATGATCCCATTGGCGTTGTAGGAGCCGTAGTACCCAAAGTCATCGTCGTCGTGGGTATCTCCCCAATTATCAGGCTTGAAACGCCCGCCGGTACCAGCGTCCACGACAAGGAGAATGGCCGTCATGACACCGAACACCATTATCGCCACTGCGAGGACCAGCTTGGTAGGCCACCGTTTGATGAGAGGCGCAATCAAAATCGAGCCCACACATTGGAAGGCCTGATTGAGGCCGGTCAACAGGCCAACGCGCTCAAAGGTCCTGGGGGTGGTATCGGTGAGCCAGGCTTCGTAGTCGTATTTGTTGGTGGCCAGGGCGACGATTGAACCGTTGAAAGCCTCAAGTCCAAATTTGTACAACATGATTCCGACAATGTAGATGGCAATATTCCTCTTCTCCATGGGAGTAAAGAGTCTCCATGACTCTTTGATGGCCTCGAACACCATGGTTGCAGCAGAGACTGGGAATACGCAGAGGGTTCAAAAGTCACAGCCTAGAAGCTCTACCATGATCATCAGAGCAGGTCTAGGACTTCTGATATGCTGGCTTTATAGAGAGAAGTATTCTCCCGCTCGCCGTTCGGGATACGTCAGTTGGTGGCGGATCGAGGAGAACTGCTCTGGACGTCTCCATTGAACGAATTGCGTTCGAAGCAGGAGCCATGTGCGAAAACATCTCATTTCCATGCTACTTCAGATGTGCTATCGAGGAAGTCTGAATGCCAGGAGGACAAACATGCCGATGAACATGATTTGCCCTGATTGGCAGGGAGCGAACCAGGGAGGAACCCCAAGATGCCCAGACCTCCGCCGAGCCAGCCAAGACAGCTTTGACAGAATGCCGATGATTTGAGTTGCGCTTGAAAGACTTGGGAGGGGCGATATGGTGCACGAAGCTCAAAGAAAAGCACAACCCGGATCTCTGGGCAGTCAAAGGCTTGGAGCGAGTTAGAATCCGACAATCGACACACGTGGTATGAGCCACCATATCGAAAATAAATATTTCTTCGTTTGATCCCTCAAATCGAAAGATGGTCGTTTGGGACGTAATTGCACTGCCACAAAAGAGGTTCCGTCATGTGCTCTGATGTTGCAGTCGATCCCTCCGTCCGTGGCCTTTGTCTCGGGCTATCTTCAATCTCCTTGATGGTTTGTAACACTTGCTTGACAGAAGGGGAGTATCACCAGCTTCGAACCTCTCAGTGAAACCCCAATAGCAAGTGGATGGATAAGTGTAGTTGTCGAAGAGATATATCGAATCGAGGACCCGTTCTAGATCCTTTGGGGGCAACTGAGTCAACATCTTTCGTCGCCCGACGAGTGGCGGGTCCTTTTCCGGTAAGGAGAATCACAAGCATGAACTAGGATGCCTTCGATATGTGGATTACTTGACCTTGCCCATGACTGTGTCCATACCACGTTCCGCGTAGGTGCTTGCGGCTGCTCGCTTAACTGCGGTGATCATGCCCCGATCCCAATCGTCGCGAGTCTTCAGGACGCCTTCCACCCAGCTCAGTTGAAGGTCCCAGAACTCGCGCTTGAATTGCTCGTACACCCGTACGACGTCGTTCTTGTCAGTTTCCAGCAGCTGGACAGTATAGTTCACGGCTTTCCACTTGGGTTTGATTGTTTCGTTGAAGGTGTCTGGGTATTTTTCGAAGAATGCGAATGCCGCGAGCACATCGTCTCTGAACCTTACAGGGAACGGTTCGCCCCGCCTGAACTTGACGCCGCGATTGGTGCGGATGGATGTCAGATAGCTCACCAGCAGGGCGTCTGAAAGCTCTTCAATCAGAATGTCAATCAGCGAGGGATGCAGCACGGCGCTGTAGTCCCCAATATAGTCATCGTATGTGGTGGTAATCCGTTGCATTGCAGACTGCTCATACCACTTGCCTGGGACGAATAGCTCCGTCATGATGGTCCGGAAGTCAACCCTGAATATAAGTTGAACAAATCGGTTGATGCAGTGAGTAGCCAGATCTACGTAGCCATCTCGGAGGGCGTCCAGCTCCGTGGTTCCATTAGTAGACATGAATTTTGCCGAGGGCGGAGTGGGCAGTTTGACAAAGTCCTCTCTGAATCGTGTCAAGTATCCCTTTTGGGCGGTGGGATCATCTAGCACATCGCCGGCAGCATCATCCACACAGGCAATCTGATCATTGGCAATAGCGAGAAGCCAGTCTTGGAGCTGCTGCAAGGTTTCAAGTTGTTCCGAGGTTGGGTTTTTGTACCGCTCCACTTCTTCGTCGACCAGCCTCTCCCATTGCTGCTGCCGAGACTTCAAGGCGCCGAACATGGCGCTCATAACGCCCTCAACAACATCTTCACGCTCGGAATCGCCTGCTGCAACGGCTTGCTCATGCAGCATACGCCACATATCGCCAAGCGTTTTGGTTCTGAAATGCCCGTCTGGATCCTGTTCGATGGCGTCTGGCGCTTTGGCCATGAAGTTCTTTCTGTCGGTAACGTACATTCGATCGATCCAAGAGTTGAGGGCTTTCGTGATGATGTTTCTGTAGTCGCGGATAAGGTCACCTTCCCGGGAATCCAGAACATGTGGTTTCAGCTGAGCCTGCGAGACGCCCAGCTTGTTCATTCTCTTGTAATAATCATCGATGAAGTGGACAATGCCCAACATTTGTGGGGGTCGGAGATCCTCGGCATCCACAAAAGACATGAGAAAGTCGTGCATCTGCTTGTGGTAGATATCCACGTACGTGTTGAAGATCTTCCACTTTCGAGGGAAAAGTTTCTGCATTCCTTGTTTGACAGCATTAATGTCTTCAAAGAACCACCTAGTTTGACTCTTAAGTTTGGAAGGATCTTCTTGAAACTCCTGCCGCGTCTGGATGAATTTGCCCTCTGCGACATTTTCGATAGCCTGCATGAATTTCTCTTTGTATCCTCGTGTCGCTTTGGGTCCGATGTTGAAAGATGTAAACTTGCTCACAAGATCTTGATGGTCCTTCTGGGCATCTTGGAGTGCTCGAACGCGATCGTCATTCTTCTCCTCCGAAGCAAGCACGATGGCTAACCTTACGATAATGCTGGTGTCATCAGCACGTTGAACCAGGTCGATGAGGTTCATGCAAATGAATCCAATATGCTCATCGAAGAGTTCAACGATGTTGTCTAGCTGTTGAAACCAATCGAGCAGTGTCTGTTCCAGACTCGAGTCTTTTGCTCGCCGAATCTGATCCAACGCTTCGTCTCGAAAGTCTCGTAGTCGTGTCAAGCGCATGTAGGCTTCCAGGAGATTTGGCTGTCTGTACAGATCGCTCTCGTCTTGTTCTAGAAGTCTCTGGACATACGAGCAATCTCTTTCGAAGCTGTCCAGACCTGCCTGCATTGCACGGGTGGCCTCGAAATTCCGGTGTACTCTTGCGAGATAGTCCAACTGAGGGAAGTTCTTGCGGATGGCCTGAGCCTGCTCGCAGAGATCATAGATGCTCTTCATCTCTTCCTTGATTTGTCCGACCAGTTTCTGCCCTTCGGAAAGGGTTGACATGCCATTTTGCGTGGTGTCCAGGTGATCCTGCAGCCCTTCTCTTAATCTGGCATCCACATCCCCCTTTTTGCGATTGATTTCTGCCTTTAAACTTGCGATTTTTTCGAGATCTTCGGGTGTACGTAGGACATCCTGGATCCGGGGCATGCCCACCGAGCCGTGGGCGCTGACTCTACTCGACATGTTGGTGGAGGAGTCGGCTTTCGACGGAAGGGGTGGGAGATTCGTGCGCCCCAGAGCGTGTCTGAGACTATCTGTGGTCCAAGTGCATCAGCCCATCAGTGCATGTAGTTTCGATCCGGCTACTGGGATGTGCAGTCGACCGTAGACGCGAGACTGCAGGAAACATTAAACGGCATTGCGTATACGGTGCTGCCAGGTGGATTGGATGTCATGAGTGCCAAGCTGAAATAGTGCTGGCAGCCGCAAGCTGGGAGGCTAGCAACTGGAGACCCTGCCTGTGGCTGGTGGGCGTAAGGCGATATTGCCCTATTCCAAACCCTAGTTTAAGTGGGCCGGTGAGGGCGATCACCCGAGAGATATCGCCCTTACTCTACCGAGTATTCTTGTCTGCACTTTTGGCTATTTGTTCTGTGCCAAATTCTTCAGAGGTCCTGGCGAGTCACGTCTACTGGCTTATTCCACCAAAGACAAACCAAAACTGGAGGAGACAGTTGAACTCAGCTTTATGGCTAACGTGGTCGAGCATTCTCGGTGAAGAAACCCAATCCCAAGAGCAAACGAATGTCCTGTACCACTGATATACATCCATCACAAAGCCCATAGTCCTCCAACATGGAGTAATCTCATACCGAGTTCGAGTTGTCAGCACACGACCATGCACCAGAGCCACCAGAGGCCTTGTATGAGTCAATGATGCCAACGACTGACCCATAAGTGCCCCCAATCATTAAGAAGGTTCCTGATACAATCACAAAGACACTCCAACAGACCATCAGAGTCAGTTTGGTAGTTCGCTCGGCCTTGAATTTGCCCCAGTTGTCGTACAACCACATACAACCCATCGGCTGGAACGACATGAGAGTTCCGAGCAAAGCACCAATGAGGGACACAAGGCCACCGAAGACTGGAATGGCACTTGCGATAATATAGGCGATGATGGCATTCCCACCCGTGCAGCCTAGCCACGTAATCCAATGTCTGGCAGTGCCCTCAGTAAGGTGATGGGTGCCACGCAAAAGTCGCACAAAAATGTACTTGGCGGGTAAGTGAATGACCAGAGTCGTTGTAACAATCAGCCCCGGAAGAGCAAAGCCATAGGCAACCTTTTTAAGGAGGGCACCAGCTGATCCGAGTGCCGGAGACGCCACGTACGAGCCGGCATAATAATAGACCACCACGCCGATGGTGATGTATGTCGCCGTGACAACACTCTGGCAGATAATGAGCGACCGTGTATATTGTCGAGGATCTCGCATTTCAGAAACGATCGAAAAGAAAGCTGGTGTGCCGGCGTAAGCGAATACCAGGGACGAACAAGCCGAGATTGCGTCGGTGAAGGACGGGTTGTTCGTGATCTTGTAATCCGACACAAAGACACCCTCTGTAGGTGCATCGGCAGGGCGATCCTGTACTCCAACAGCGATGGTGACGGTGAAAACTATACAAGGTCAGCGTATTCTTGACGACTCTCCCACAAAAAACATACTTGCAGTCAAGATGCATATCACTCCCACCCAAGCAAGCCACGATATCTTGCTCAGTGTCTGAATACTGGAGAGGCAGAATCCGATTATCGCAGCAACAGCGACAAAAACGGCAGTACATGCTCCATGTGTGGACACTGCGTTCAGGCCAATTGAGATGCCGAGCATGCCAGCACCAGCGACGAAGATCCAGTCTGTATCATGTTAGGAGCAGAACCATTGCTGGTTAGATGAACTCACAAAGCACAAATGCCAGACCAAAAATCTCGCGCCCGATACGACCAAACAACAGGTAGCCGACATCGTCAATGCTATAGACAGAGCGGTGTCGAAGCTTGAATACACCGACGATATAGTCCGACCATGTCGTGATGACAGCAATCGTTATCAGGCATATGATGCCAGGGATCATGCCGAGGACGTCGAAAACTGCTGGAATCGATAGGACCCCGAGACCAATCTGGGTCTTCATCATAAGAATGGCTGTTCCCAACCAACCGACCTAGAGAGCATCGTCAGTCTGGTGCGGGACATCTTTCTGGAAAACACGGACATTGCGGTAATTCGGACCACCTTCAACAATCTCGCCAAAGACATCATCAACGATAGAGACCCGCCGTCCAGTTATAGAGAGGCGGCGTCCACCTTCGTCCACGCTATACGAGCGATACTCAGCCTCTTGAGCACCGAGGGATTTGTCGTCAATCTTCTCTTGATTCATTTTGGAGAAATAGCAGGAGTCGTGCTTTTACAGCTGTCTTCCGACGATGTGTCCGAGTACTCCATTCAGGGATGTGCCACGATGCCATAGTTATAGTATTTTGCCTTTTGCCTTCTGGTTGTCGCGGGGAACATCAGTCGTGTGCAATCATTGGTGTCAGAAAGCCCGACCGATTCTGCGAAATCCGGGGTCTAGCGCTGTCGGGATGCCCTCCGATATCTCGAGGTGCAACATCTGTCTTTCACCTAACCCAATACTGGATATTGGAAGCGGGCGAGGAACAAATCCGCGTGCCAGACTAGGTCTCCTTTCGCTCAAGCACAGACTGGGCACCAGTCGTCAGCAATCTCTGGGAAACCGGGTGTGTACCCGGTCCTTCTGGCCGCAGAAACTGATGAACAGCTGATACGGAGAATGAATCCAGCTACGACTTACCTGGTTGCTGAGCGTAGATCAGCATTGATACTTTCTTGGAGAGATGTGTTTGGTACACGGCCATCTAAGCATATGACTGACCGGACATTCTTCAGGACGCCAGTGATACCGTGAAGCGCTCCTTGGCCTATTCCCAAGGAAGGCAGAAACAAAAACAAGGCGAGAGGGGTAGGCTCGAGACATGGCATTTCACATTTGATCAGGATGTCGAGTTGACATTGACAGAAGAAACCTGGGCAAGGCCACCTTGTGGAGGGTTGATCACTCGGGATCTCGTCCGATGGCTCTGAGGCACTGCGATCAGAACGTCATTGCAACAGTGCGATTTGCTGCTACCCCAGTCGAGAGGCTGGGTGTGCCTGTTCTTGTTAGTCACGATGGTTGGTGCGCGTGTAATGGTGTGTGATGTGTCTTCTGGGCTGCGCCGAGTCCCAGCTGAACGCAGGTGGCGAAACGTGGGGGAGGGGCGAAGAGGATCCGTGGATCCCAAGGACCCAAGGCGGAGATGAACCCACTAAACCACTCACCAACACTCAAGCACTTGTCGACTTTCTTCAACCCGTTGGCGCAAAGTATGCCTATCTCTCAGAGGCTACGGGGAGGCCCATCCCTCTGGTCGCACCTTTTCCAACGCCAATATTCTTCCGCAAGAGTTTACAATCGCTGCTATCGCCTCACGACAACAAGCCTCTGTATCTGCTACCTGACAGCAGCAACCACAAATGCCAGACACCATGCTTCCAAGATAGCTCATTGCTGCCTCCAGATATGTCCTCTGACAATTACTACCAGAACGCCGTGAGGAAAAGGCCGTTCGATGGCCAATATACAGCGACCTCCGTTATCGTCACCCTTTCCATCGCATTGGCCTTCTACAATTCACTGGAAATGGTGCTTCTGATTTTGACCACCTTCAAGAGAAAGACAGGCCTATATTTCTGGAGCTTGAGCATCTGCAACTATGGCGTCGTGTCGTACACGTTGGGGATGACGTTGAGTTACTTCAACATCTGCGACTTTTGGCTGAGTGGGCTTCTGCTCGACTCGGGATGGCTGTTCATGATTACCTGCCAATCTCTTGTCCTGTACTCGCGGTTGGGATTGATCCTCGATAATGTCAACATTCTGAGGGCCGTGAAGTGGATGATTATTGTCACTAGTGTGTTTATTGAAGGCCCTACGGTGATTCTGGACTGGGGCCACGCATATTCACCCAATCCAAAGTTTGCCCAAGCGTACTTTTACATGGAGCATATTCAGATGACAATCATCACGCTCCAGGAGCTGATCATTTCCGGGCTCTACGTGTGGAAGACGATGATTTTGCTCAGAGTCATTTCCAAGGAAAACACTCGGAGTATGATATGGCAGCTCTTGACCATCAATGTCATGATTATCTGCATGGACGTAAGCTATCAACGAGTCCAGACCATGTCCATAACTGACAATCTTCCAGACGGGGCTGGTCATGCTACAATACAAGCGTCTCCAGCTCTACCAAGAAAGCATCAAAGGCTTCGTCTACAGTGTCAAGCTGAAACTCGAGTTGAATATCCTCTCCAAGCTGGTGGACCTGGTGCAGCGAGATTCCATGGACAGATCGATGAATCTGGAAATCATTGACGCAAGCTCCCTCGCAGGACAGACGCAAGCAGCGGTGCGACGGGAGTCGTGGATACCAGGCCATCTCGGCTCATGGGCGTCAACCACGGACAAAGGAGTTGAGAAGCACATGGAGGAGGTCTACAACAGTAAGGCGACAGACACATTTCCGGGCTCAAGACCATCGGATGAGGTCGATGGCATCACGCGGGTTTTCTCACAGAACTCTAGATACAGTGCGAGGACAGCGCGCCGAGAGTCTGACATTTTATATGCAGAGGTGCTTCGCTCTATGAAGTAGGATTGGCCCTGTTGAGGAAATAGATACCTCGATCTTCTCTTTTCATGTGTCGTGAGGTTGATGTCCGACCTTGTATATTACACAGTGTCTTTCGGTCACTCACAGATACTGATACTGGTACTGGGCGTCCGCAGAGAATACCCAAGCGATGTAATGTTTTGAAGATACAGATCGAGATGGCTGAGATGGCGTCGCAATAGCCAAGATCTAAGGGCTGCAAATGCATCTAGAGCCCAGCACATTGACACCACAGTAATTGCTCATGATTGTATCATGGTTGTTTTCCAGGTCTTGGACAAGATTGTTATCGTCCATTTACCGCATCGCCGCGTCGCCGCATTGCGATTCGGCTGAAGCCGATCTCAATCCATCCATCCATCGGCAATCGGACATCGGCCACCGCATCCGATACAAAACTCCTTGCAGCAATAATCGGGAACTGGGGCCGTTCTTCGAGCCATCGGACACCTCTGCCGAGATCATTTCGAGTCAATCCACGGGCAATACGCTCAGAAGGCATCCTGTTTCGCGTTCATACGCATGGTTCGCCGTGTCTGTCCGGTCTTAAAGATGTCCATCACGACATCCGTCTGGCGGTTCAGCGACGCTCCCTGGCTTGATCAAGGCTGAAAGCAGGGTAAGAAACCAGCACCTCTTTGATTTCGGACGCTGAAGGAGGAGGAACTGTCACACACACTCTCCCACTCTCTGATGCGCACAAGTCTCCCTCTGTCCATCCGCTCGCTCTCACGAGGCATGTCGTTCTTCGAGCCCGCCCCGCGGATTCCCAAGGACGCCATCTTCGCCCTGACGGCCAAGTACAACGACGACCCCGCCCCCGTCAAGGTCAATCTCGGACAAGGAAGCTATCGTGACGAGAACGGCCTGCCTTGGGTCCTCCCTGCGGTCCGTCGAGCGCGGAGGAGACTGACCGGTCCGAGTCTGGACCACGAGTATCTGCCTATTCTGGGCCTGCCAGAGTTTAGGAGCGCGGTCGCGGAACTAGTCTTTGGGACGGGAGCTTATGGGGAATTGAGACATCGAGTACGTTCGGAGTCGATTGACCCAAGATGCTGTGCTGTGTTGTGCTGTGCTGTGCTGATTAGGTCTCGTAGATTGCCAGCTCTCAGAGCCTCTCCGGCACCGGGAGCTTACATCTCGCGGGCGCCCTGATCGGGAACTACAGCTCGTTAACTCGGCAAGTCCTCGTGCCAGAGCCGACGTGGTCGAATCACCATCTCGTCTTCTCATCGCTGGGCTACCAAGTCCGCACGTTCCGCTACTACAACCCCGACATCAGGACGCTGGATATCAAATCGTACCTGGAGGCCCTGCGCTCCGCCGAGCCGAACTCGCTCGTCCTCCTGCACGCGTGCGCCCACAACCCGACCGGATGCGACCCGACACGAGAGCAGTGGAGGGAAATTGGCGGTGTGGTCAAAGAGAGACGGCTCTTCCCGCTCTTCGACGCCGCGTACCTGGGATTCCGGTCCGGGGATTTTGACGAGGACGCATTTTCCATCCGCCATTTCGTCAACGACCTGGGCTTGGAGGCCGCGGTGGCCGTCTCCTTCGCGAAGAACATGGGTCTTTATGGTAAAGTCTTCCCAGAAGACAGAGCAACAAGAGAAATTGCCGTTGCCGTTGCTATTGCTAATTCCAGTCGTGGACAGGCGAGCGCGTGGGTGCGACCCTCGTCGTGACCAAATCCCCCGAAATTGCCCAGAACTGCGACTCCGTGCTGGAGCGATTACAGCGCTCGGAAATCTCGAATCCCCCAGCCTACGGCGCGAAGGTTGCTACAGAAGTCCTGCGCGACCCGCTCCTACGCAAGATGTGGTTCGACGACCTCAGGACCATGAGCGATCGCATCGCGACCATGAGGACCGAGCTGTACAGTTTACTCGCTGAGAACGGTACGTGCTACCAACCCCCCAAACCTGGACCGCCGTTTACATTTGTATATGGAATAAATCTCTGACAAAAGTCTGTGTTTTTGTGCGGTACAGGCGCCCCAGGGACCTGGGACCATATCGTCCAGCAGTCGGGAATGTTTGGATTTCTGGGCTTGCCGTACAGCGTCGTCGTGCAATTGAAAGGTGAGTCATTACTGCGAACTCGAATTTACTCATGTCTGGCAATACACACACACACACACACACACACGTGCATACGTACCCCGTTGTTTGATCTATCTTATCCCCTTCCTGACCCGTCCCGACCCGTCCTGAGTTGACCGGTCCTGACTGACCGGCCAAACAGACCGCCACCACATCTACATGGCCGACAACTCCCGCATCTCCATCGCGGGCCTCAACGAGTCCAACGTCGCATACGTCGCGCGCGCGATCACAGAGTGTTTGCTTTTACAAAAAGATTCTCATTCTAATAAGGGCGAAGAGACGTCGCCACTGGCTTCGCATCTATAGACAGGTATAGACGGGTATAGAGAGATAAGACAGAACAATATCTTTGAGTTCTTGGGTCTTGTTTAGTGTCCTGTGTCATGTATGATGTATGATGCGTCCACTGTAAAGTTGGATAGGATGGGATATGGGATGTGGGACATGGGATGAGAGTTGATCCGCTTCTCTTCTTGAACTCCTTCGTGTCGAGGCCTCGGCCTCTAGCTTTGAGCATCCAGCATCCATCCCCCCAGCCTCTTTAGACTCGTGGCTGCAGCCGACGTCTCTCTGAAGTGTCCGCTCCGCTGGACACATGCCGGCTTTCAGAGAGAAGTAAAAAGTCTCTCCTCTCACAGTATTCTTGAGAGGTTGCGAGGGGCAAGATACCAGCCCATGATTTTGACTGATCAGCCAAGTAGGGACATTGTGGATCGGAACAATGGGTGTCATTTCGACATTCGATACATCGGCAGTGAGTGACCTGTGGCCCGTCTCTCCGGCAGCCGGTCCGCCAGGCGGAGGCGATGCCGTGATGTGCTGTACTATGCTGTGCTGTGCTGGCACGGCTAGTTGAGTGGGAGCAGGCCTGGCAGACAAGTATATTGTTCGCTCTTCACGTCAAACCCTCTGACTTGGAGCTCTCACACACCCTGCTGAACGCGCTTCGCTCCAAGCTCCTTGTTTTGCAGGTGTCGAACGACCATGGCGTTCACAATCATGGCGGCGCTCAGCACGGCGCAGGTGATGTAGCCCTTCTCGTAGCGCGGAGCGTCGACCTGCTTCCACACCAGCAGGGGGAGCCAGGCCTGGACGGCGTAGGAGAACTCGTTCATGGAACCCGTGACGAAGGCGCGCTCCTCGTTGTCGTGGGTGCAGATCTCGTGCGCCCACGCGTAGCACAGGCCGCTGAGCCCGCCGCCCGCGCCCACCAGGATGAAACACGTCCACTTCCACCCCATGGGCACGTCCCACACGGCCAGGCTGATGTAGATGACGATGTTGACCAGGTTGGCCGCGATGATGGGCGGCCACCTCGCCCCGTGCAGGAACGTGTCGGAGCTCCACGCGTACATGAGCGTCGTCACCACCTGCACCGCCGCGCTGGCCGACGGGATCGCGTTGATCTGCGTGATGGTGTATTTCGGATGTTGCGAGTCCTTGAGGAACAGCGAGAAAAACGGCTGCGGGATCGCGTTGTTGTTGACGAAGATGGTGAACATGATGACGATGCCGTAAAAGTGCCACGACTGGAAGATCTTCTTGATCTTGGTCCACGTGTACGGCTGGCGACCGCTGCGTCCTTCGAGAAGCATTCGCGTTTGAGCCAGTTCGATCTCGGCTTTGCTGAGATAAAAGGCCTGGCACGTCTCCGGGACGTCCGGGTAGAACAGATAGCCTGCTACTGCGACGGGCACTGAGAAGAAGTCAGTCACACGGTCACCCAACACAGGCTGGTAGTGGCACGACTTACCAGCGATGCACCCGTCAACGATAAACAGCCACTGCCATCCGCGGAGTCCCCCCCTTCCCTCGAGATGGTAGACCGCCGCCATCAGATAGCCGCTGAACATGCCCGCGAGGGCACTGGAGGTGTGGAATATGCAGGACCGCTTGGCCAACTCGTCGCGTCGATACCAACATCCGATCAGATACTGGACACCCGGGTAGAAGCCGCTCTCTGCGAGGCCGATCAGGAACCGCAGCACGTAAATGGGCTTGATCGTGTCGCAGGCCGCCATGCACATAGTCAGGGCGGACCAGACAGTCTGGATGCATGGGATGTATATCGAGGCCCGAACGCGTGTTAGGAGTAGGTTTGCTAGAGACAGCCAAAAAGATCACAGATACAAGTCAGCAAAAGGCTCGATGGCTCGAAGTCCAGAGTGGCAAAGGGGGGGGGGGGGGGGAACGCCGAACATGGAATAGCTCCCAGCACGTATCCGACCGTCCACAGCGTCTGCATGTAGTTCAGCTGGTTGCCATAGAGGCCCAGATCCTCCTTCATGCCCGATACGAAGGCGTTGCTGATGTTGAGCTGGTCCAGGTATTTGATAAAGAAGCCAAACCCGGCGAGACTCAGCATCGCCGCGTCGAGCTTGAAGAGGAACGCGCGCTCAATGGGGTCTTTGTCGAGCGTGTCCCACAAGTATGACTTCCAGGTTTGTTTCCCCCGGGGCGCTTCGACGGGTGTCACATCATCGATGGAGGTGTCAGAAACCCTGGCCCCTTTGATCGGGGAGGAGTATACCGTGGCTGGCGGTGAGATGGGAAGGTCTTTCTCCATGGCTCTCGAGGTATGCTGTAAACTCCACAGGGGTGTCTCAGATGGTGGTTACCTGAATCCTGGTATCGCACCGTAACATCACATCCTGAAGAGATATACTCCCTAGACTTGTTGCAAAAAGCATTTGGACGCGCGGCTGATTGTTTGATACATCAGGAGACCTACAAGGTCTGCGAGCCAGTCACGACAAGATGTTGCTTCTGGAAAGTCAGTCTTCAAAACCGGCGCAGTCGGAAAGCCAAACGAGCGAGGACAAAGCCGCTTAGAAATTCGAGATTCGCGGGAACGAACCAATTGACCTTTTGATGTCAGGCTTCTCCCCGTGCGGTCAGCAAGCGATGGTGGATGAGGTCAAGACACAACTAGCCAGACGGAGCAATGGCGAAAGAGAGACCAGGTCCAATAATGGTAAGACCAGGGTGAAGGTATCGATATGTTGCCGAAGGCCATGTAGACCATCTGGGGTCTTTTTCAACGGACTGAAGCGAAGACTGCATCAAGGGATGAAAGGTGACCAGGTCTTTGTCGTCGCTCCGCCCTTTTCGGTAAAGGCTTATCCCCCCCTCGAAGGGCTGACCTGTTTGATTCGTGATCCGTTCAGAAAGCATCCATTATCCTCATCGAGAACCACTGGACGCGATGACTAAAGCCACGTGGAAGCGGTTCGTGCGAGGAGATATGGCGCCTGTTCGGCTTTGACATGATCGCGCAGGAGATGGTTGCGAGACTCTGCGCACCTTTTGAGAAATGAAACCATCAAATCGAAATTCATCTCTGTCCATGCCTTTGACATGCTGATCCGGTGTCGACTGATCTCCTGTACCTCGAGCCCTGCAGCCAGCGACTCCTGGACCCTGCATGTCTTCAATCTGGAGGTATCGGCACAAGTACCTGGTCACTTTCCTGAACGGTTCTCCCACACACGATACTCGATGCTTCTGCAAGTCTCGCTTATGTTTGGCGCTAGAAGCATTCGCTGGACAAAAACTCGTCTCCTCATTATTATCTTTGCTTCGGCACCGAACTTGTCAAGGATCTGGCACTCGTGGGGCCGATATGTCCGCCGTCACTGGAGATGATGCATCGAAGAATTCTGGCGTAGCCTCGTGATGGAGGATCGAACACCCGGAATTTCTTTCCCTGGAGTGGTCTGAAGAAGGTGGAAGGACACATACTCGTAGCATCGTCAGATGCCATCGAGTCACACCTTTTTGCTTTGCCTAGAAAAGGTAAACATCACACTGCGTATGATTAGTGGAAACTCACCGCTTGGACGAACTTTGTTCCTGTGCTAAACGGGCCACGGTCTTATCAAGGTCGCCGAGTGTGAACGGTCCGTGTGTACGCCGGCTCTGTTTTTAATACAACTTGGTACGTGCTTGGGAGGCGGCTCGGAGGTATGTAGACGAGGTACAGGAATCACTCTTGGTTCGGCTCTTGGCTCGGCTTCTTCCTCCAAATTGATCCTTTCCTCATATACCCAAGATCTACCCTGCCATTGAATCCCAAGTGCGCGAGTAATGCACGGTTAAGTCTGACGCGACCTTACCCCCAACGAGTCCCAGGAAGCATCAGAAAGAGAACCCCGAGCTTGGTGCATCCCTCGAACAGCAGATGTGTAGAGGGAACGGTCGGCCAATGCAACAGCAACAGTCAATCGAGACCAACAACCACAACCACACACACAACAAGGCTCAAACTGGCCGAACTCTTCAAGGACGAACATCACGACCTACTCGTAAACGCGGACATGTGACTAAGCCAATCGCCGTGCGAGGAATTGCCTATCATTTCCGTGTCTGAACTCTCCCCTTGCGGCAAGGCGCAAGATCCTATCTTCCTCTTCGATAGAGCGCCGGAAACGATCCGCCCTCGAGCACGCCTCGGCTTACTCGAATCGGTGGAACTCTGCGCCGTTTGAGCGAGATTTCCACTTGCAGGGGGAAAGAGAGATCGTGACAAAGTCTGCAACAGGTGGAGAAGATTTGGTCAATACATGGGCAGGCATTCGATCCTTGGCCAAGGACCATCGAGGCTACCGATACGACGAATCGGAAAATCCTGTCGACTCCCTGTCATATCTCCGTGTATATGCCCTCTTTTGCCACCGAGAGTCTATGGATCCCAAACCTGAATAAAAGTCTTTGCTGCATGAGCACGGGAGATGGGAGACATTGGGCCTGAAAAGAGCAGGGAGAATCGCAATCCGACTCGCTTACGGGTGGTACATCACGCAGCAACAAGGCGGCCAAAGGTTACTGTAACATTCATCAATTGTGACACCAAGTCATGGCGTGCGACGGAACGTCAGTCCCAAGTAGCCTTGTCCCATGCAGCTCGGGTTTCGCATCGACGACGACAGTCCCAAAGCGTCGGACGGTTGGCAGGGAGTCGACCAGTGAGCCTCTTTCCCGTCAAGTTCAAGCCGAGACCAAATATCACCGAGGGGAACGATGGCGCCGTCCTCAATAACGCAGACAAGAAATGGAAAATCTCTACACCCTCGGATGTCTGTCAACGACACAAGAAACGTACACACGACAACAAAGGGGACGACCACAAGTTGGCCGATCTTTCCCATGCTGGATACGTTCTTGCTTGCCGGGTTCTAGGCAGCAGCAATCCCTTTGACGTAGCGGCCCTGCCATTATCGCCTCGAGATTCCCACCTGATCAAACTCGCACATTCGTTCGGTCTGTTTCTAGGTGGCGCGGCCACGCCAGACAAGCTCGTGGCCCGTGACATAGCTGACGGCTGGGTCTCGGATGTTCAGCTGTCGTTGTCCAACAAGGCATTACTTCATGCCCTAATTGCGCTGGGTGCCTCGATCTGTGCTGGTGGGAGTAAAGAGAGAAATGATACGTACATCACGTACGCAGCCAAGCACAAATTAGTCGCCATTTCGAGCCTCCGCACGGTTTCGACGGAGCAGTTGCAGACATATCGTAGCATGATCCTGATCCGGCTCCTGGTGGCATGCGAGTTCTACATTGAAGATATCGCCGCCGCCGAAGTGCACCAGAAAGCGCTGCACCACCTCTTTAGTGATATGGTAAGGGGAAGCAGCATCTCCCACTTGTCGATTGGCACAAGCGACATCTGGACGGCGGCGATCCAGGGCCGTCGCACCCGATTCAGGGAAGGTGACCACGATCCCGGCCCATGGCAACAGTGTTTCTCGGCCGCTGCGTTCCGGCTTGTAAAGGAATATGCATCGGCGTCTGTCCAGCACTTACTGCAAACAGACTCGATCGACAGCTCCCTCCGATTCAATGTCAAGATTTTGGCGATTGTGGAAAGGATCAGGAACATTGCCTTCATAGACGAGGCCGCTAAGAGTTCGTCTTGGAGTGCAGACAACCGCGACGTGGAGCATGAAATCAAGCGGTGGCTGAATTTCTACCGTGTCGAGACCTCGAAGCTCTTGAACAACGTCGCCGTGGACCACACCGAGGCGCTGTTGTCGGGTAACATGACCTCGGAGTTTGTCACATATCACGCGCTGAGCTGCGCCATGGCTTTGGCCCTGCGGTCTCAATGGCTGCTTATGGGCCACGTCAACTCTGTGGCTCGAATCCAGCTCCGGTACTGGAACTTGAACGCACATGCAACTGAGGAGAGGCTTCGGAAGACGATCCGGATCCTCGAGACAAGCTCGATCAGACCGGGTCAGGAGAACATGTGGTTCTATATCCTGTTCATGCACGCGATATTTGTGCAATACCTGAACCACATCAACTCGCTCGTGGTGAAGGTGAAAGAGGAAGGAGGCCCAGCGGACAGCAATGGCGTGCTTTCCGAGGCACTCGAGAGACTCTGTCGAGAAAAGGTCCGTCGCGGTTTCTGCGGTGTGGTGCAGGCAAAGGAGATCCTCCGTGGGTTTTGGTATCACAAGTGCTGTGACGATGCTCGCTTGAACGAGGTCTGGCGCATCTTGGCCGGGTAAGATGGACCACAGCACAGCACAACACAATACGAGCACGATCTGCTAGTGAGAGATATCTTCAGTCTATACCAGGTTTGCAGAATTTCGGGGGGAAGCCCTACTCCCCCGTTTTAGGTAGGGTATTCACCCTTGACCCAAAGCTTTCCCCTGACTAATTTCAGCCACGTGGTTTGTTTTCATCTCTGATGTCTTTCTCAAAACAAACATGTGTAAAATTAGCCTCTTCTCAAAAAATGTACTTGTAGCTTCCTCAATTAACAGATGGCTTCCGTCATACTTTTTGATCTTGCTTTGTAGTCTGATTTGTACGAGGTAGGTAGTTTGGAGGTGTTTATTCACTACCCCAAGTGAGGCACGAGGCTATGCTTGGAAAGGGGTTGGTTGGTTGGTTGGTTGGTCGATCAGCGGGCGGAATTACCGTCGTTTCGGGCTGTTTATAGCCGAGCGGCGGCAGACAACAACCACACAAGCTGACCGAGTAGACTTTGACGTCACTCTACTCACGTTGACGCTTATTGATGCCTATCGATGCGCATCCAAGCATCCGAGAAATAAATTCTGTTTTTCTGATGTGGTTGTATAAGTACGAACGAGTATGACTACAACAGTGTGAATTAAATAGAGGGTTTGAGGACTGGAGGACTAAAGGAATGTACTCACCCCTCAAACTCCCCTCCCTTGCCCTGCCCTGCCCTGCCCTGCACCATATCAGGGTCTTGTGTCCCATGTATCCATGTCTCATGAACCTACATACCAAGACATCTACCTGGGTATTTACCTAGATACCTATTAGATACCTGAGGTAGGAAGGGAGACGAAGTGACGTCGGTGGGAATCTACCATCACCATGACTACCTACCTAGGTACTTACCCAGGCATCAGGCTGCCAAATATCTGGCGAGGTGGGCATCGTCTGTGCTCAGTCAGTTGGTAAGTGCTCTCACACGGCCGACTCAGTCAAGCAAGGTATGGACATACATAGTCGGTCAGGTAGGGTGGTAGGTCAGTCGAGATGTAAACAGTAAACAAAGAGCAATCACAAACAGCAATCAGCATTCACGCTGTGATTCCACAGATTCGGAAATTCACATACTCGTAACCCAAGTACCTAGCCATGGTCCCCATCTTCGCTTGAACTGTCTCTTACCTACCCATCCATCCATCAACCCATCAACCCACCTACATGGTGCCTGCATGCTGCCTGCCTAGGTGACTACCCTGTGGCGGTGCTCTCACTGCTCGTGTCTACTTGTCTTGAACGACAACAGAAAAAGAAGGAATACCCATTGTGATGGCTGAACATCCTACATGGCTTCCAGCGTGAGTATTTCCTTACTCTCATACTCCTCAGGTACCTACTTCCTATGAACTCACACCAACTTACAGTTTCAGGGTCTACCTCTCCGGCGCCTTCTCCGACATGACCATCGTCTGCGCGGACACAAAATTCCAAGTCCACAAGGTCGTCGTCTGCTCTCAGTCGTCCTTCTTCAACACGGCATGCAGCGAGCCGTGGGCCGTACGTGCAGTGCTTCAATTCATGCCTTTGTCCCCTCCCAGGATCTTACTTTACAAAACAGAAGTCCAAACAACCCACCGTCGATGTAAGCGATGATGACGTTGAAGCCGTCAAGAGAATGATCGACTTCTTCTATCGCGGCGATTATCAGGATTTCGAAACCGACAAATTCACCCAACACGCCCAAGTTTTCGCCATCGCAACAAAGTACAACATCGACAAACTCGCTCAAAAGGCGGCTGATAAGTTCTGGAACGCAAACATCAAGTGCTGGGACGCAGAGGCCTTCTTAAAGTCCGTCCCCATCATCTTTCTTGGTACTCCCGAACAGGTGCTCGGACTTCGGGATGTGGCCACTCGTTGCGTTCGTGTTCATTTCATCCAACTTGGTGGAGACGCCGACATCCAGGCTCTGTGGCGCGAGACCTGTACCTCTACCCCGACATTCACCTTTCACCTGCTCCAATCGTTCCACGGCAATCCCCTCATGGGATATTGTGAAAAATGTGGATATGGCCAGGCCATGGAACCTCATCAGTATCGTTGTCTAAAATGTCGGAGCAGGCATGCAACCATGAAGGACTTCAAATAGGGGCGATGCAGACCCAAACGAGCCCAGAACTTGCTGAGGGTGCCGAAGAAAGATAAAAGTCTCGCTTGCACCACAACAGTGCTGCTTCCCTCTTACGAGTCCCTTCGAAGGGCCAGAGGTCACCTGTAGAGGCGCGTGGTGAAGCGTAGGAACCACGCAGGTCGACGATCAATACTGGAGACAGAATCAGTTGCTTCGTTTGCTGCGAGGAATACTTATCGTCGTCGGAGAGAGAGACAGGAGGACAGATGTATTTCCAGCTCCTCGTCCGGTTCTGAGTTCTTTTCAGGCACCCAGCAACCTTGTCTAGTGTTGTCGTCTTTGGATGGAATAGCTTTGTCGACGAGGCAGGGTTTCTGAGCCTTAAGCTTCGGCATTACCTTCCTGCATTCGGTCAGGGCTGGAAGCCAGGTTAAGAATATGATCAATATCAACTGTTTCCAAAGCACAGTCTTTGCGTTGCTTTTAGAGAAAAGTCGCAAAGAAGCTGGATCGGAATTACCCGCCGGATTGGCCACCTGTGGCCCACAGAGATCTTGACCAATTCCGAGTTGTCTCTGACGAGGACTGCCATCAGGCAAGCAAAGGGTTTGAGTCTACGGACCCGTTGTTGGAGTCCTGATGATGCTAATGATAACGACTTCCGAGCCTGTTGTTCTGTTGATTCATTTTCCAACTACCTAGACAAATCAGCCTGCTCTGACAATAGGAGGGAAATCGTCACATGTAATCCCCTCATGGCAGACTCAACAACGCACCCGGTGGGAGACAATCCATTCCTACAGCGGGCGTATGCACTCTCGAGCGCGGTCGAGGCACGCGACCTCTACAACGAGTGGGCTCTTGAATATGACAAAGACCTCGAGGCCGAGGAATACGCTGCCCCAAAGCTTGCAGCGCAGGCATTGGTCGACGCGCTAGACGGTCGACAAAGTGAGGGCCAGCTGGGGGGGCTTCAAGTCCTAGACGCCGGCTGTGGAACAGGCCTAGTCGGAATCGAGCTTGCGAAATTCGGCGCTCAGCATGTTACAGGTCTGGATATCAGCCAGGGCATGCTCGAGGTGGCGCGCAAGACAGGCGTCTACGGCGCGCTGGAGCAGGCCGACCTGTCACTTCCAATCGCAAAGCCAGACGACGCCTTTGACGCGGTCATCTGCGTAGGCACCCTGACACGCGGGCATGTGGGACCGCAGGTGGTCAAAGAATTCGTCAGGGTCGTGAAACGGGGAGGATTCATCGTCGCGACTGTGCTCGATGATATCTGGGAGAGCGCCGGGTTCAGTGCCGAGGTCGAGCGCTTGCGGGCGGCTGGCGATGGTGGCAGGATCGAGGTCTTGCGTTCAGATGTGGTGGGATTGAGATCGACAAGCAATGTGGGAGGGAGGTTGCTGGTGCTTCGAAAGGTATAGGGATGGATTGATAGAAGGGTGTTGAGACGTACGTAGGTGGGAGCGAAGGTGGGCGCAGTTGCTGCTACTCGTACACGCAAAGCGTTCCTCTCTTTTCATATGGCAGCTTCAAGCACGGGACAAATTGTCGACAACGGTCTGGAAAATGAAGAGGCTAGCTATATTTCTAGAGACTCTCGTCTTAAAGTAATAGTTGTACTCGGAATGGAGCAGTTGACTTGTCTGGATAGATAGGTAGAGGCTGCGCATTGCCATGACTAGTATTCAGCCCAAAGGCCCCATTTAGGGGGCAACAAACCCCCAGTATTTGGGGGCGAGTCACCTAACTTGAGGTGTCAACCCCTAAACCCTGGGTCTCGGCGGTACTCACAGGGACAAGGCTTTCACTTGGCACTGGCTGGTACGAGTGCCCTATTCCTTAGTAAGTAGGTGCCTAGATACCTACCTAAAGTACTAAGTACAAATCTAAGAGGTAATTACTACCGACTACATTGCTCACACCAAGTGCCCGTGACCTTCCCTATTTCACCTCTGTTTAGACGTTGACTGGGCTTTGAAGTTCGTCCGCAGCTTCCTGGTTTCATGTACAAATCCTCTCGTACTACTTTCCTTTCCGATTACCCTTATTCCTCTGTGGCTGAGAGAGAGCAGCCTCCCTCTGTATGCATCCTGCCAACAGGGTGGGAGATCTCATACCTGAATCCCCCTTTGCCCTATCTTGTTGATATATCTTCTCGTCCATACCGCCTTCTTCATCTCTTCTTCTCAACGGCCGTCGTTTTATATAGTGTGGCCTCATTGGCACGGATGGACAAACATATCCATGGACGGCACGTTCTTTCAGTGCAGGTCTTTCGGCTTTTGCAAGCCCCGGTGTCCATGCGAAGCAAAGCACCAAGCAGACATGAATGCTGCCCTCAAGTGCATTGATCCGAGAACTGAAAGTAATGTTGATGAAATTCATATGCGGTCTCCAGAGTCACAGCAGCCGGGTCGAATGGCGCGTGAAATTGGCCATGCTGAAGCGGGTCTTGAATATACAAGTCTGGGTATTCCATGGGTGAGATATTGATATCCCATCCAAACTCCGGGTTCAGGCTTAGCCAGGATGACGCATCTTGTGGTAATGAAGGGCCGACCTCAGGACCACCCATTTGATCGGGAGAGAACAACGGATCCGAATACCCATCGATCTGCTCTGCGGAGGAAACATGACTCGGCGAAGGGAATAGCGTCTCGAACCAGAACAATTGCTCTTCCTCCATATCCCAGGAAAAGCTGTCATGCTGTTGCGGCGGGAAGACATATTGCTGCGTCCCGACGCTGGTGACGCTCCGAATACAGTCTTGTGCCGTGACCGAGTCTGTAGGCGGCACAGAGACCGAGCAATGATGGTGTGAGGAGGGAGGGGAGGATGAGCTCCCCGGCTCAGGCTTCGACTCTGCTTCAGCAGTCTGCCCCCGCTGCGGCTTCGACCACACCCAGTCCGGCGGCTTCTTGTCCACGGTCAGAAACACACACGGCTTATTCTTGCGCCGACAGCTCACACAGCTCACACAGCTGTCCTGCTGCAGTTCCCGCCGCGGTGTCGTGAGGAGACATCGCGTCTTGCTCCTGCGGCAGCCTACACAGGCAATCGAAGCGCGGTAGTAACCGAGCTTGGAGCCCCGCGACGCTGGCGGCGGCTGGCGAGGGCGCGAGTACGGAGACATACTTGTCCTCGTACTCGTGCTGGTGCTTGTACACGTAGACGAAGAAATCTCCGGCGGTGGGGTTTCAATAGTACACAAAAAAGGGGGGCACGGTAATGGACTATGCCTGTACAAATGTCTGTACTTGTGTATATGTATATATCTCTATGTCGTCTTTATTGAAAAGGCCCAAGCCACAAGCCGTTGACAGTAGAGTAGAGCGAGGAAGAGAAAAACCCGAGATATCAGAACGAACCACAAAGAGGATCTCACCCCGCGGTTGTCTAGATGGAGTCTTATCGTGGCCCAGAGCATGGCACCGCGCGGTGAGGTCCGCTTCTACTACACACTGGAGGCACACGCACATTCCATATATGGACGTAGTAGGTACCTAGTACCCACCTATGCACTTAACTGACTAGAGCGGGGATGGAATTGGGGATGTACGAGGCAGAGGTGGATAGATTGGCAGGACTACCGCGGGTCAGTAGGTGAGACGGGATTGGCTTAGTCAAGTCTCCTACATATGTAGTCAAGAATGTACGAGGTACTGGTAGGAGGTACGCGCAACTGTGCCACGGCGGTCCAAGGGTGCTGTATATAGGTAGGTTGGCAAGCCTGTGCTTGGTGGCTGGGTCTGGTCAGAATCTCTCCCTCTTGATAAAGTCCACCCAATGAGCCGGGGAAGTGTTGTTATTCCAACCTTTAAGATCATACAACGCTCTTGTCACCGGCAACCACGGTCTCTTTCCCATCCACGCTGCTCGCCTCCTCACCACCACCACCAGCGGCGGGGGCGGCAATCCTCCCGTCCAGCCTCGCGTCGTCTTCAATGTGCTTGGGCACGATGACCGTGTCCTCGTGGAAGTAGTTCGTGTCACTGACGTACAGCACCGTGACGGTGTACAGGAACAGGATGCCGACAAAGTAGCACGCGAATTGGAAGGAGAGCTGGGTGATGTAGGTGCCGCCGTTGCCGTCGATGATGAAGCTGAACATCATGCCCAGCGCGGTGGTGCCGCGGAAGCACGACGCCCGCCGGGCCAGGCGTTCCGGGTCGTTGGTCAGCGCGCAGATGACGTATTGGGTCGCGATTTGGTAGATGCTTTTTTTGGGGGAGGAGTCAGTGAGGTTTGCTTTTGAGAATGAAATATTCTATGGAGAGCTTTGTATGGGGGGGGGAGTTCTCTCTCACCTGTACACACTCCCGTAGATGATGTAGATGACAAACGCGCCGGCAAAGCCCGGATCCGTCCAGTCGGTCGACGGTCCCGCCTCGTGTCGGTTCAGATGGTGTTGGGCCAGCCAGGCCGCCTCGGCCGCACAGATGGCCAGCGTGACGGCGCTCATGACCGAAATGCCAATCAGGGCCCGGGTCTTTCTGCGCCCGAACCGGGGGTTGTCGAGGATGTAGGTCATGCCGAAGCTGGCGGGCAGCTGGATGAAGTTGAACATGACGTTGTTGAGCGAGCGGGTGCGCAGGTTGAAGTAGTAGCCGTTGAGCGAGCTCTGGAGGGCCAGGGCCATCTCGGCGACGAAGATGGCCGGCAGCAGCATCATGAACCGGTAGTCCTTGATCATCTCGACGATGCCCTCCAGCTCGCTCTTCAGCGACGGCTGCTTGAAGATGGCGATCTTGGTCCCGTCGCTGCGCACCACCTTTGCAGGCCGCACGAGCAGTGTCAGGGCCAGGACCATGGCCAGGACCTGGATCACAACGAACACGACGTAGACTGGCGTGGGAGCGCCGGCGTCTTGCCGCGCGCTGTGTATGTTGATGCCGAGAGCCACGAGAGCTGCGATCGTCGAGCCACCTGTTGCGGGTAAACATCTTCCCCCACCCCCAAATCAACTCTTTGCCAGAGCTTACCTTCACACATGCACCATTGGATTGTCATGAACAGAGCCTTGTCCTTCTCTTCAGCGTACGAGTACGCAATGGCGCCGGCAGACGCCCACAGAAGCGCCGCCGATACCCCTTCAATGCCTCCACCGAGGTATGCCAGCCACGAGTGTCCGCTTCGGTCGAAGTACCAGAGACCACCTGCAACCAGGGTGAGCAACGCGAAGTCAAAAGCGAGGGTCCTCTCGAGGAATATAGTTGACTGACCCGTGTAGAGACTATATCCAATCGACCCGAGAAAGACCGTGTAGTTTGGGCCGATGAGATTCATCACCGAGCCCGCAAACCACCCGGTGATGAAGAAGACACCATACAGGATGGCATTGACGTTTGCTGCCACGGCTTGAGACGACGGTTTCCCTCCACCGGCTCCGAGACCTGTCAAGGCGAGGTAGATGCCCGGGAGACATAGGAGCATCAACCTGGGCGACGAGATCAGAACACAACCCTTGACAACCCGTGGGAGGGAGAGACGTACCCAGCAATCAGGTTCTGGATGAAAGGGTGATTGAGGCGCAGGTCTGCTCTCTTCAGCCCCATTTTGAGAGTCGTTCTGGCTTGTCAGGAATGTAAAAGTGTATAGGACACTTGATGCAGTGTGTTATAGCTGAGTGATACACAGGACCCAAGCGAAATCTCTCTGGAGGGCCTTGAAGCACATCGCCCTTTTTATATCTTGTATCCAGAGTTAGGTATCTACAAGTCCACAGGTGCGAGAACCATGAAAATGATGCTCGAGCGAGTCTCACCGTCACATCACCACCCACGCACTCCCCTCTACAAAGTCACAAGGCAACCGAACCGCGGACCCATGTCGATCCCTCTCCTGCATCTCGGCACTGTATCAGTCGCCCATGCAGAACCTGGGTGGCTGGTGGAGTTGATAATCCTGGCAAAGGATTGCAGTGGAGCATCTCCCCAAGAGTGTCAACATGAAGATCTGGAGAAGGAAAGAGAGAGGAGAGGAGAGGAGAGAGGGTTGACGATGACTGACAAAGGCACGAATGGGATACACACGGGCACACGGGCACAATGGATCATTTTCGGGGGAATCTGAAATCGCTACCAAGGGGCAGGCATTCGCTTGGGGTCTCTTTTTGCATTGGCGCATCGACACTAAATCAGGTGGATATCGGCACTGTATCTGTAGCCAACCATGGCGAGGTATACACAAAGGAGGGGCCATCAACGTCGATCCATGTCCTTGATGCCACGGAGGAAGAATGAGGAGAAGCACTTGCACCACCAGAAAATCCAAGCACGTTGTTGGGAGAGGAGGACTCGGTATGGATCAATAGGACAGATACACTTACGAATATCTCGTAGTCATGGAGAGTGGAGGATCTCTTACACCAGGAAAGAAATTCATGGTGGGCACACCGTATGTACGATGTTGTTCCGCAGGTAATATAAAGGGCAGAGAGAGGGAACTAATCTGCTAGATGAACTCGAATGTGTATACCCAGACATCAATCTACATCCTACGACGATGAATCCCATCCGCTCTGCTTTTTCACTCCTCCATGCACCTTTCGCAGCGTCATCACGAAACGCGTGGAGGGGTTTGATAAGACGGCAGTGTCGCCAAAATACCCCTCAAGTCCGATCGTTTACCGCCAGACACGGACTCTACTCTGCTTCCACCCTGACCGTCAACCAGCAGCGACTATGGGACACCCTACACCACACCGCACAATGGGGAGCGACGCCCGAAGGAGGCGTTCGACGCCTGACTCTCACCCCAGAAGACAAGGCTGTCCGCGACTGGTTCGTCGACACAGTGCAGCAATACGGGGCCACGGTCAAGGTCGATGAGATGGGGAATCTCTTCGCCATCAGACCGGGCCAAAACAACGACATTGCCCCCATCGGCATCGGATCCCATCTGGATACCCAGCCCGCAGGAGGACGATACGATGGCATCCTGGGCGTCCAAGCTGGGGTCGAGATCCTCAAAGTCTTGCACGAAAATAACTACACCACCTACGCCCCGATCGCTGTGATCGACTGGACGAACGAGGAAGGGGCCCGTTTCAATACGGGTATGTTATCCAGCGCTGTATGGGCGGGCAACGTGTTGTTGGAAGACGCATACAACCACATAGATTCGGATGGCCTGCGCTTTAAAGACGAACTCGCGAAGATCGGATACCTTGGACCTGTCAAGGCCACTCACACTGCAAACCCTCTCTCGGCTCATTTTGAATATCATATCGAGCAAGGTCCCGTTCTGGAAGAAGACGGCAAGTCCGTCGGCGTCGTGACTGGAGTTCAAGGAATGACCTGGCTCATGGTGACGGTAAATGGGCGATGTCAGCACTGTGGCACCACGCCGATCGATCGACGAGCCGACGCTCTTCTCGCAGCAGCGCAGATGATCTCTCGCATAAATACCGTCGCCTGGGAACACAAGGGCGTGACCACCGTCGGGGTCATCAATTCCGAACCACAGTCGCCCGGCACGATTCCTGGAACAGTCACTTTCAGCGTCGACATTGAACATCTCTCCAACCATACTCTGGACAAGATGGCCGATATCGTCCGAGAACTGTGCGCCTCGATAGCGGAGAGTAACAGCTGCACCGTCGATATCAAGCAGATCTGGAGGAGTGCCGGGGTCGAGTTCCACAAAGACTGCATCGACGCGGTGCGGTCGTCGGCGATCGAGCTCGTGGGTAAGGATGGGTATCGAGAACTCCCTGCTGGGGCAGGCCACGACAGCGTCAACACTTCGTACATCTGTCCCACGTCGATGGTGTTTATCCCGTCAAAGAACGGCATCTCACACCACCCGACCGAGTATTCCACACCCGAGCACTGGTAAGCCAAGCGCAAAACCGTCATATTAGAGATCTCCGCACACTAATAATTGAAACTTGACAGTGCTTTGGGAACGCAAGTGTTGTTGAACGCCGTCCTGCGATACGACCAGGGTCTGAAAGCGCGTGGATAGCCTAGCTCCGGATAGATGGACAGGTATTCGACAAGAAGAGGATATAATGTTGATCACAGCTGTGCCGAAGGCATTTCTGACCTGTGCTCCCGACTCACCTCGAGCGATTGCAATGCCGTCGAAATTTATCATTTTTGGACGGTTTGTTCCTCTTGAGTCGAGCATGGCAGTGGAGGGCAGGATGGAGAAAAAATTGGTACAATTTATAGGTTGACAGAGCCACGAGGCGTAGTTCCTAGCTATGTTTGAAAGTAATGCTTGGTGCGCTTGTGGCTTCCTACAGTCTCAAAAGAGGCGGGAAAGCGTCGCTACCCAGCAAGAAATTGCACATATTCTGTAGCAAGGAATATTTTCATTTTTATGTCTTGTTTAAGCAAATCGAAGAAAAAAAAAGGGGAGCATTTTTGTTGTCTTAGCAGTTAGCCAGCGAGGTTTATAGGTCTGACTGACTCCTGCGGTCAGCTTTGTGAAAATCTCTCCCTAGTACTGTCCTTCGAGATCGCACCTAGAAAGGATTCCTTGATCGTGTCAGAACGACAAATCTTTTTTTTAAAACAAAACAAAACAAAACAAAACAAAAACAAAAGCAGTAACTTAAAAAAAACACCCGCACAAAAAGTATAGAGGAGGCAAAAACAATCAACAATCCGGATTCCCACCTGGTCACCCACGGTAGTACTAACGGATCGGCATGTGGCTTAAGTACGGCTGAGCGAACGGGAAGCCCTGTATTCCACATCCTATGGTCGATTGCGGAAGAAATTCTGCTTCTCTAAAATATATCTCTCAAAGTTTGTGTGTGTTTTTATGTAATAGCCCTATGTGGCTGCGGACCTACGGGTAATTACCGGCCAAGCCATGACCTCTTTGGCTCACTACTAAAAAAATTGAACACCATCTCCGTCCTGTCTATACACGTACAACATGTACAAAGTTATCTGGATGATGCGATTTATCCCCTATTTCCCCTAAATACTTACCCCTCCTTTCTCATCCCGATTGTAACGTTTAGCATGTATACCACATATTGAAGAACGGGTTGGTGGTGTCTAAGACGAAGTGAAAAAGAAGAACCTGCAAAGGCTGCAATCGTACTGAACGCGTGCAATGTTGTGCGAGGGCGGCATGTAGACTTCTATACACTCTCACATCCTACTCGGTATATATACGTTCGTAGGCAAGTGATCTCACCAATCTGGGGCAAAATTTCAATAGTGTGATGGAATAACCCAGCCACGACTGACGGGTGAGTGCATGAGTACATACAAAATTCCCTCCCTGAAATAGACTGCGTAGTCCTATATTCCTACCCATGTATTTTAGCATCAGAGACTCTGTAATGTTCTCGTCTGGCGAGGCTACACAGTTACATCTTCCCATAATGCATTGGGCCCTAGCATTCGCAATCGATCGTTAGCACAGGGTTGTACAAGCGTCCGATGACACCATAGCCATTTCATATGTGAGTGAAGCATTCGTTTTCGCCCCCAGGGCAGCTTGGTCATATACACGCATTCATCTCCGCAAACATGCTGTCTATGTCGATCTCGTCCAGGAACATTCCACCCTCAAAGGTCTGCCAAACGTCGTCGAAGAAAGGTAATTCCGTGCTCGACAGATCGACGCTGTTGCTCCCCATTCCTGTGCCGAGTGCATCAGGTATTGTATCAAGTGGCATTATGGTCTCGTTGGTAAGGACGTCGTGGCTTACAGAGGGCAGCGATACCTTGTACTTGGACACCAGCCCGTGAAGAGATTCGAGCAACGTCGTGGCCATCTTCGTCTGGCTTCTGGCTTGCTCCAATATCTGAAATGCCTGTGCCAGTTCTGTTCTGCGGCTGTCCTCGGGCTCGGCGACTCTGTTCAGGCAGACGTCTAACAACAGAGCAATGATGGCCAGGAAGAGGCAGTATAGTGTTCCGCCGAATCTGAAGCGGCTCAGGGCGAAAGGGATGTCTGTTTCATTCTCCAGGCGTCGCTCAGCCGCAATGATCTGTCGCGCGGCATTGAGACAAATCTGCCGCGATCTAGCCAGCCCCGGCTCGGCAGAGCTTCGCGATAAGCTTGGGAGGTGGAGCTTGCAGCGTCGCGCCTGCACCATATTGACGAGAATGTAAGTCTGTACAGTGATCGCAGGGTCTTTCGAAGCTCTGTCGGGGCTTGCTAGATCCCTGCCATCTAGCCTGAAGAAGGGGGGAAATTCACTGAGAAACTTCTCAAAGTGGGCATCGAGCTGCTTGGTATTGTCGTGATCTGCGGTAGAATTATTGCTGACCTCGTAACAGAGCTCTCCGAGTCGTATTCTCTGCAAGAAATACGACATTGAGGTCGGTTGCGAGAGGTCCAACCCAACCAGGGGAACGCCGTCCACCATATCTTCGTCGCGAATGTTAAGTGGCTTCTTGACCGTCATCTGCCGTGGTTGTATGGTGCAGATCCCTTCATGGGGCCCCGCGAACCTGCTGAGAATCCTTGAAGCTAGTCAGTACGGGGTAATGTAGTGGGTTGTCCAGCAGACTTACCAATCCAATGCAGCAAGGTACCACCAGACCCTTCGCCCGACCTCAGCTTCAATCGAGTCAGCTGGTGCGCGACGCGATACGTGGTCAATTCGATGAAGAGACAGTTGCCGTGCTGTGGTTATAGCTGTAGATACCAGGTTATAGTATCGAATGGACGTGCCTTCCATATTGCAAACGAGGAATGAGACAATTATCAGTGCTTGAACGTCCTCGATAGAACCGTTCGTAGTCCGCCGAGAGTAGTCTAGCATGTCCAGTGTTGCAGTAACCCAGGAGGCGGCTTGATTTCTCGCATCGTCCACCGAGTGATACAGGTCTGGATTGTCGCGAGTCGTCCATAAGAATGTTGCACTGGCGATTATGCTCAACAACAAGGCCACATGGCCACGCTGAAGGGGTCTGCGCATGTCAAGGTCATGGTAAATGTCATCCATGAGCTTTCGAAGAGACGCGGAATGGATGACGTGGTGAATGTAGGTAATGTCGCGAATATACTTGTCCAAAAAGACACTGGCTTCTTCGTGTCGAGGTAGCCAGATGCATTTGACAGGCTCAGTTGGATAAGACGGTGTAGGGGGATCCAGGTAGATGTACGAAGTGGTCTTTGAAATCTGTCGAGCAGGACATGTCCGGAAAACAATCTTATCTGAGCAGAAAAGCACCTGGCGTTGAAGAGATCATTGAATTCGTGTCAGTCGTCTTCTTGCAACATTTCATACAAAGAATGAAGAACAGTGGCAAGTAGCAACAACCAAGACCACGGCAGCGGGTGATTGATAGCACGTACCGCCGAACTTTGATCCATCATATCCCACTCGAGCAATTCAACATCATCAGTAGCAGTATGCAGTCGACAAAAAGGCCCTGATCGTAACTGAGGCCTCAGAGTGGTACTTTGCATGTCCCATGAAGTTGGTAGACCATGACTGGCTCCATGATCTGCTTTTCCCGGCCTCTGTGCTCTCGACGAGTTGTCAGAGTCACGCCCATTCGACGCAGTAGGCTTTGGCAGGTGCGATCTTCTTCCGAGCGATGGCTCTATGGATGGGCCGTAGAGTTGACAGGATAATCCCTTCGCCGCACAGTTGTCGCAGGGAAATTGGCGACTGCATCTCAATTTCTTGGAACGGCAATACTGGCACGACACTGGCCGGCGCGGACGCATCTTCCGGTTTGTATCTACACCAAGTACCATGTCGGACTCTTCGCGAGCATAGTTCCTCCATCGACTGGTACTTGTCACAGGATTCAGGCAGTCGACATTTTGAATCATATTGTGGATTCTTGAGTTGGACGGGTACCAATCAGGGTCTTTGATGTTCGGAATATCCGGACGCGGAAAGTCCGGCAGATGTGATTGGCTGTATTCAAATCGCACTGGAGGAGGAGGATTGTATATAAAGTGTGTATGATCCTGGCTGAAGTTGAATCCTACATCGACTCTGATCTCTTTAAATCACCTTTAACCGTCATGGAAGCCATAGTCGAACATATACAGTCACTAGCAAAAGGGGCGAACGACGCTGAGAAACCTCACATCGTCGATGCGCTCCAGCGGCTCCAACATGAGCTGGAGTCGCCAATGGATGTTCTTATGAAGATGTTCAACGCAGTACGTTGTCTGGTGATGATGGATCAAAGAAGAATATCGACTAACCTTTTCAGCAAATCTCCCTCTCGGTTACCTATGTTGCAGTCGAGCTTGGTCTCTTCCAGGAGTTGGTCAAACACGCTTCGACTGTCAGCGGGGCTCGGTTGACCGCGAATATCAAAGCATCCGCGGAGTTGGTTGGTGAGTCCTCTCGTGAGCTTGGTGACTTGTCATCCGACATAAATTGCTGACGGCCTGGAAAATATAGAGCGTCTCCTCCGATATTTGGCATCTGTAGGCTTTCTCGACAATCCAGAATCGGCAGAGTATCGACCCAACAAAATCACTCATTTCCTGGCCAGTCCCGTTGCCGCTGCTGGTGTTCGCCATGCGTAAGCTGCATTTCTCCCAATACGACTATATTTGAATGACACATAGCCTTTAGTCTGGACACTTGTGGTCCTGCGATTCAAGCACTTCCTGCTTTCCTGGCTGAAAGACAGTACCAGGACATCACCGAAAACAAATGCACACCTTTCCAGAAAGGGCACAAAACGAACCTTGGGGCCTTTGAATGGCTGGCTGAGCATCCTGAGAACTTTCTTGCCCTTCAGCAGATCATGACCGCCATTCAGTCCGCCGCTTGGCTCAGGGACATAGATGTGCTGAACTCAGCTGCCCTCGACGTCACGGCAGGCTCAGAGAGGCCTTTCTTTGTCGATCTCGGAGGAGGACATGGCCACCAGTGCAAGCAGCTGCTCAATAAGTATCCCAATTTGGGTGGAAGTGTTATTCTGGAGGATCTTCCTCAGACGGTTGACAAGTTGCCTCCAATTGACGGGGTCAAAGTGATTGGGCAAGATTTCTTCGAGAGACAGGCAGTTCAAGGTGTGTTCGCAGCATAATACTCGAAGTTGAAGCTCAACCCCAGCGACTAACCCGGCCTCCGGTCCAGGCGCTAGGTTCTATTATCTTCGTCGCATCATGCACGATTGGCCTGATGCCGAGTGTCTCAAGATCCTGTCCCAGCTCTCCGAAGCGATGGCGAGCGACTCACTCATCTTGATCGACGAGATCGTCCTTCCCGACGCCAACGTCCCCTGGCAGGCTGCCATGCAAGATGTCTCAATGAATATCCTTTTCGCCGGCAAGGAGAGAACCAATAGTGAATGGGCCAATTTGATCGCCAGTTCCGGCCTGAAAAAGAGGGATATTGTGACCTACAATCACTCGGCGTGTAGTTCCGTGATTGTCCTAGGAAAATGACATTGAGTAATGGTATTTAGTGAGGTGTGTTGTTAATTAAACCATAGTTCGGCCATTAGCGAGACAGTGGAAATCAGGAAAATGCGTTCATTCACGCTATACTCCGTACAACTTGCCGGATCTCGAATACAACTCACTAATACCGCCGAGATTGAGAAGTCCAAAGAGATTCTCCAGCCACTACGTCAGATCGAAACACCAGGTGGCTACTGTATTCGGCCTCTCTGTGCGCTCCTCTCTCGTAACCGTTAGCTTTAGCACGAGTAAGTGGTAGTTCATCCGCCGTGAGCTCCTGCTGGTTCTACTGGCCTATGTCGGTAGTGGAGGTGATAGAGCGCTAGGAGATCGTCGTGAGGTGTCAATAATGACGGGTGATAGGAGCATCACTGTCCGAGGAGACGTAGGGTGAGAGGTTACAAAAGCGGCACGTGAGCTTAGTTGTTGCATATCTTTAGTGCTGCCAAGACAAGGCTGGATCCCTGATCGGATGTTGTTTTCGTGCTTTCACTAGAATTTGTTCTTCGCAGCAAGACACAAAAGTTGGGCTCGACAACTCAATTTCAATCCATTAACACAGCCGGATATCCTCTCACCCAGCTCGTCACGATTCCTTGTATTTGCTGCATTCCCTTACGAGTTCTCCCACGCGCGCACTCCTTTTCGAACACAAGCACTCTCCCGAAGACGCTCCAGTTTCATCAACCATGTCGTACTTCCGCATCACCTTGATCAGATCTGCAATTGGTCTACCAGCAAAATCAGGAAATGTCCTCAAAGCACTCGGTCTGCGCAAACGGATGGCAACCGTATTCCACCCTGTCACGCCTTCAATCGCTGGCCAGATAATGAAAGTGAAAGAGCTGGTTGCGGTATCGGAAGTCGATGAACCTCTGACAAAACAAGAGATACACCAGGAACGAGTTCCCGATCCAGGCTTCTACGTCGAGTCACGAGCGCAGGATCTGAGCAAATAGAGGACTTCGCAGCGGAATTACATCTGGATAATGTCTGGCGCGAATAAAGACCACCATTTCCACAGTCGAACGCAGCAGAACGCCGCACACTCTCCCACTCTGCTGTAAAGGTGAACGGCAAACCGCTGCTCTTTTCCACCACAGCACAATCTCAGCTATTGGTTCACGTACCCGCCATGACACTGCCGCCACTTGACTTTCGGAGCCCTCTGTGCATTCCCTTTACCCGCCACCCTTCGAATGGTGCGGTGCCGATATGTGAATTGCTAGCGTACAGAGGTGCGGTTTAGCGGAGGCGAGCTAAAGAGGTTGGAAACTATACAAGATCAGAATGAGGATGATTTGGAGCTGCCATCCGTATCGTGAAGGATGTAATGTCAACGGTCAATCTCAAGCATGAGTACTTGGGATTTGTGAAGATTTGGCCGAAGAGCTGGTCTACAGAACCGCAGTGGTGATCACACCGGGCAGATAGTCATCTCCAGGCTACGATGTGCCTAACAGGGTGAAGACCAAGATTTGTAACAAAAGGGACTGGTTGAAGATGTATAATGGAGTTATGGAAACGTTCTCGGTCTTGTGAGAGAAGCCCAGTCAGTTGCGACAGGGGACAAGTTGCGCCTGGGACATGGAGCACCCTCTACCTAGCTTTATCCCCGTTGTTAAAGAGATTCTACTAGACACTACTATTTAATAGTTGTTCCGACAATTACATTAGCGTCATGGTTTGTCTCGAACTGTGTGCCATTTTTACTGTCAACTGGCACTGTCCTCAGTCCAGGGAAATTCCATAAATCCACCAATCATGGAGCTCCAAGCTACATGTTTGCCGAACCGATTGACCCTGTCGTCATTCGTCATTCGCTCCGGGGAACTTTTGACAACTTTCCCATTCAACTCAATGGCAGACAGTGCCTGGCGACACTTGACCTGAACTGCCCGATCTTTTTCGTTTCGTTCTTGAAGCGCAAGCACGCGACAAGCTCCTCTCGTCTCACACTCTTTGCTTTCCGGGACAAAGAGTCACAGACTTTTGACATCCTTGCAACCATGAAAGCAAGCCGACATCTCCTCCGCTCCACGCGACCAACCCTCCTCTTTCGCCGACCATGTCCTTCCCCTGTGCCACGTCTAGCTATCCCTGCTTCCACGTCTCTCACCTCAGTCTCTCGCCCACAAGCGTCTTTCTCCACCACCCTCTACAGACCCAAGGGACTGCAACCCGGAAGCAGTGACCCAGACCCGCCCAAGACCGAACCTTCGCATGGCACCTCATCAGGCGCTGCTCAGATCTCGGATTCCGAGTACCATGAGATTGCGGACCAATATCTCAACACGCTTGTGCTGGCTATGGAAGAGCTTGCCGAGAGCAGCTCAGAGGGCATCGAGGCGGAATTCTCGGTACGTGCATTCCCCGTTACAATGGACAACCTTTGGAAGTCCCGCACCTGAACTTGACACCATCCAACCCTCCCAACTGCCCCCCACAACTAGGAACATACAACTAACCAAAATTCCCTTTGATTCTCCCTCTCTCCAGGCTGGTGTACTCACAATCACCCACCCCAAGCACGGCACGTACGTGATCAACAAGCAGCCGCCGAACAAGCAGATTTGGCTGTCCTCCCCAATCTCCGGCCCCAAACGCTACGACTGGGTGGTCCCCGGCGACTCGCAGCAGGAGAAGGCCGACTCGACCGTCGACCTGGGCGACGATGGCCAGAGCGGCGGCAAGTGGATCTATCTACGAGACCGGAGCAATCTGAGCGACCTGCTCAAGAGGGAGCTGGGCGTGGAGCTCCGACATGGAGGCGAAGGGGAGAGCGATGTGAACGAGGGTCGCGAAGGGCCAGCAAAGAGTGGAGCCAGCACTGCGCCATAGGGTGGTAGCATGATGGGCTGGTGAGGGAGAAGAGAAAAGACGGCACTGTTCGAGATGGGAATGCGATGGGATAGCTCAATTCGTCCAGACCTGAAGAGCGTGCGCAATGAGTGTTTTAGCGCAGCGTCGATGAGAGAGCTCTTGCTGTGTCGGATATTAGGGAGGGCTAGTCTACGTCCAGCTTCAAGGTTTAAGCGGGCTTGTCATGGGAGCTCATGCTGGAAATCAAGAAAGGCGGAAATGGCCACAACATGGAACGAATAAATGACACTTTTAGCTGGCGAGGGCAGGGACACAATGTCCTACGTCCACTCAGAATAGGATATCTCCAACCGGGAAATTCAATGTCTTCTCTTCTCCTTCTCCTTCACACCACACCACGCCACACCACACCATTATGATCAATGCTCCTCCTTCCTCCCCGTATTTTTCCACCACATCATCTCATTCACTTCCTCTTCCGTGCACTGCCAGCGCCACCAGCCTTGGGCTGCGACGCCGGAGAGGCGGGCGCGACCCGAGGAGCGGCAGGCTGCTGCTGGGCGTCGCCCGGAGCAGGGATACCTCTGCCGCCGCCCATCCTCCGGCTCATGATCTGGCGGGAGATGAAGCTGATGCCGAGCATCATCAGCCACGAGGGCATGGTGCCCAGGGCCCACATGAAGTAGCCAAAGGGCTGGATGACGCCGAACTGGGCCATCAGGCCGTCGGTGGGGTGCAGTAGGCCCGTGTACTCCGGGTAGTCGAGGTAGCGCGACTTGGAGGCCCGCGGCAGGCTGGTGATGTCGGCGACGGTGGTGCTCGAGACGTTGAGCGGGACGATGTGCAAGGGGCTCTTTGCGCCTCGGTCCGACTGCTTGGGCAGCAGGAAGTGGTAGATGTTGGGCACGCCCGCCGCCCACGCCGTGCAGACGACCTCGTCCTTTTCGCAGTCGAGGAGGCCCAGGATGAGCGGGGGAGAGCCTGCAGGTTGGGGCAATGCGGATAACAAGGGCACAGCTTCCTAGATTGCCGCCAATGGTTAGTTTTTCCAATAGTCACCAACAAATCGGAATATCGCACGAATGTATTCCTGGTCGGGAGAGGGCAAAGGCAGGAGCACAATAAATGCGTTGCAATATACGTACAGTCCACACGGTATCCACCTTCGCACATCGGCCAAAGCACGTCTTGTTCCCGCCCGTCACATAGATCATCCATTCTTCCTCGATGTCCGGCTTGGGCGCCAATTTGCGCTGCCAGTTGCGGACGTTGATCTTCTCGACCTTGTGGTCTGCGACGGCGGCCGCGCCCGCCTCGAGAGGGTTGCTGAGAGGCTCAGGCACCGAGTCCGCAGGCGCGGCACCGGGGATGAATGACTTGGCCTTGTCGAACCAGCCCGCGGCCTTTTCAAACAGGGGATTCTGGTCCGCTGCGACCAGCAGGGGAAGGAGGAGGAGCGAAGCGAAATGCATCGTCTTGCGTGTGGAAACCGGAGAGATTTCGTCGGTCGAATTATCGGGGATCCGCGCAAGCAATTTCGAAAAAGAAGCTCTCGACAACGAGAAACCGAGTGGCACAACGAAGAAGAATGTATGTAATGGGTATATATTGCGCGCAGAAAAAAAAGAAACCCACGAAAGAATGGGAAAGGGACCTCCAGTCAAGGAGGAAGGGGGAAAAAGGGAAAAGTAAATGAAGTTCTGGTGACGAAATCCAGGGAGAAGAAGAAAGAGAAGTCAAGTCTGTGTGCGTGTGTGTGTGTGGACAGCAAAGTGTTGTTCGAGGTTCTCGGTACTGGTGAGCTAGGCACAACAGTTTTCCGCTCCAAGGAACCGAGCTTGCTACCTTCAATTCGATAGTTGCCCCCTCAGCAATGGCCAGATAAGAGTTAACTCTCATTTCCAGCAAGTTGATTTAGCCGAAATGGAGCCCCGCGCAACAACGGCCACGAGGCACGCCATTTCCCCACGTGCCGTTTAGTCGAGACCAAAGCGGAATTATGAAAAGTGGGAGACTCGAAAAAGGGGGTGGGACACACACACACGACAAGAGAAGGCACACACACGGGGGCTGAGTGTATGTCTGAGACAGCACAGATCGAAGACAAAGCGGCAAGAGTACATCAAGTCGAGAATATGTGGTGTTAACTGGACAGAGCGTCCACTGCGCGTACACACACTGGGCAGAGACTGCGCAAGAAGATGAAAGGCTCAGGCGGACTTCTGAGCCGCCGCCATCTCCCTCAGAAACTCATCCCAGTCTCCCAACTTGACCTCCCATTGCCAGTTGGGCTTGTCCTGCAGGTACATGTCGTAGAGGGCTCGCGCGGTGTTGTCAGGGTTGGTGATGGGGTGATCTGCCAGGACGAGTCCGCCAATGTTGACGCCCCCGACGTGGACACCCTTGTCTTCCACCATTTGCTTCAAGCTCAGCAGCAGGTTATACTGCGCTGCCTTTTGCATGGAGAGCGAGGCGAAGTCTGCCAGCGGACGGTCATACAGGCCGCTGTTGGTGAACAGAAACGATGGATGAGACCCGGGTCGCTCTGCCACCGCCGTCAGGTGAGGTATCGCCCACGACGCCGCTACAAACAGTCCAATGTTCATGCTCTATGCATCAAAAAACCAGTTAGCCAACAACAGACCAGAGAAGGATCTCGCTCAGTGCCTCCCTGGGCCAAATCCATGGTTCTCTCCTCACCTTGAAGTCCTCCAGCAGGAAGTCCGGAGCGGTCTGACCGATCCTTGAGGGCATAACTCTTGCTGCGTTGTAATATACGACTTCCGGGGGCCCGAGATCTTCGTGGACTTTGGCCAGCACTAATGCCAGGGCATTGTGGTCTCCAACGTCAACAGGGTACGCTTTGACCGTGACACCAGGATTGGCCGCTTGCACTCTGGCAGCATCCTGACTCAGACGTTCAACATTCCGAGAGAGCAATGCAACATTGAAACCCTTGGATGCAAAGAGTGCCCCTGTGCTAGCTCCGATTCCAGGTCCACTGCCCAAGATGACGATAAGTTTGTTGTCCGACATGACTTCCGGATAGATGTTGTGGTGTGGTCGACAACTGCGAAGTCTGTACGGTAAGACCACAGAAGGAGGCGGGTGAAAGTCCAGAACCTCCAAGCGATGGTTACTCAAGAACGATATATACCCACCATATATATCCTTCTAGGTAAGCATGGAGATGACTTTGTACCCTGACACCCAAGCGATGTGACTCTCCTCACCAGATCAGTTTTTGGAAAGCAGAAAACTCCATCCTAGCCCTGAACGAGACATGAAGGGAAAATCCTTCTTATATATCTTGTTTGAACATCCGGGCCCTTTTCCGGGGCCATGTACGAGGGTAATTACGTGGTTGACATACCCGTGTCGTGAGCAAAAGACAGGCCACCACCAAACAATCGCCACTTGCTTCCGGTCTCTGGACTCTTTTGAGAAACCATGGCTGACAAGGCGGCCGAAGCACCCGCGGACATCTGGCTGCTAGCTAGCTCTCTTTCCGGCACATCCCAGGAACGCGCCCATCTTTTTGACCGTTGCATCCTGGGCCCTCTTTTTGAGAGGTCTCCCCTATCGAATACTGCAGGCCAAGTTCCTGGCCAGATCTATGTTTCCTGCCTCTCGGCAGTAAGCATTATTATGTAGGTACTCGTACTCGCAAGGCGTGTCAGTCTGCCTGTGGGGACGAATTACGAGGTATCACTCGTAATAATTAGGCGAGGCTGCACAGACCCAATACGGGCAAGACACTTGCTTTCCCGAGTTAGTCGGGGGGCCAGTAAACGAAGATTACTTTGTCCTCGTGTCGTTGGTTGGATCTTTTAGGTATTTGTGTACGAGGTACATATATATAAAGCACTGGTGGCTGACTAAGAGGGCGATGGCTTTCTTTGGTGTAGGAGCAGAGGAGATCTCGAGCTTGTCGATCCTTTGATTTTGCATATTTCCGCGGATAATCCATTTTCAGACCTGGACCTATAGTATCTAACACATATACCTCGATGTGGTGTGGTGTGGATGACGAAAGGGGTAGAAAGTAGTAGTAGTAGTAGTAGTAGTAGTAGTAGTAGTAGTAGTAGTAGTAGTAGTAGTATAGTAGTAGTAGTAGTAGTATAGTAGTAATAGTACGTAGCTACGACCAGCTGACGAAGCTAGAGACAGCGACGAAGGCTAC